TGAGATACACAAAATCACCTTCTCAAGTGACAGGCAGGCAGCAGCTACAGTGGAAATTCACAACCACAAATCCCCAGCACCACCCTGTGAGAGACAAAAGCTGGATCTGTCTCCACCAGCAAAAGGAAAACAAGGCACAGGAATGGCTGAGACATCAGAGAGGCTCTCAAAGCCTCACCACTGCCTGACCTCAGATCAGAGCTATCAGCAGCTCCTGTTCAGGTTGTTGTGCTAACACACATGGGTCTGTCTCTTTGGAATTAATTATTCCTGGAAAGTCACTGTAATTACAGAATACAATAAAAACAACAAATCATTAATACAGAAAACTCTGATCTTGGGAGACAAGCAGAAAATTCCATTATCTCCCTTTAAGATTGATCCAGACTGCAGTAAAGATTAAGAGCTGTTCAGTGACCTTTTCTAATGTGATTTCTTTGGAAAATTGTCTTGAAGCTCACTGCGAACTATTTCAGTTTTAGCAGTTACATAAACTAATCAAGGGCAGTGTTTCAAAACAGACAAGCAGTTAATAGCCAGGTCAGTGAAATGAAGGAATAAGGATGGTCTTCTCCCTGCATTTATGAGGAATTCAGCCCAACATTCACCTTTGCAGATAACCTAGTAATTATCAAGGGCCTAAATGCAGCACAAACTGAGATCCTTCCAAGCCCCTTTACAAGTAGGCCACTTCTCAGTTCAACAATGAGAGCAAAAAAATTCAACTGCAACAAGTTGTCACTTTGCTTTGGTTTTCAGTAGGAACATCTGCTGCCTTCCCCACAACCCTTAAACTGGTCAGAGTTCAAATGTCACACCTGAAGGACTGGATTAATTAATTACACCCAATCCCTCCTCCTGTGTGGCTTTCCCTTCCAGATAACATCCCTGCCATATTCATCCCTTAACAATAAACAATGCCAGGGCCATCCACACAGAGCAGGCTGACACCTTCATAATGAGTAAAAATTAAATCCACGTTAACAAGAGTACTCCAGACCTTGTTAGCAATGCCCCTTTACTGCTTTCCCCAGTGCTCCAGTACTCTTCACCACATCAACACCACTGCAGCAGTCCAAAATTAAGCTCAAGGCTCCTCCCTTCTGCTTCATTTCATTTCTGAGGCATCACAATCCCAGAAACCAGAGTGACCAGACCTTGCCAGCAAGAAGAAAACCTATCTTAATTCATATTGCACCAGAGACCCCCAGTTTACTGAATGTTTTCAGAAGTGCCCATCTCCAAGAGCTCAGGACACAGCTGTGCCAGTGCCTCTGCTTCCAGGGCATTCCACCTCATTGACATCCATTCAGCAGGAGACAAAACCTGCCCATGCTGAGCCTGCCTGCTGCACCCAGCAGCCACGGGACCTGGAACCCTCCCGGAAAGGAGGCCAGAGTCCAGCAGAGCTGCCAGACACACATCCCCAGGCACTGAGCTGCAACGAGGCACTTACCCATCTCTACCTTTACTGACGATCTTCACTTCAAAGTAATAAATGCCACAGGCTGCAGGGATGGGGTGAGTGGCCCTGACCGAGGCAGCATCTTTGTGATTTTTACCGTGACCTAAGAAAGAACAGAAATGTGAGTACTGAGGGGATCTGGCCTCTCACATATCCTGATCTAAAGCCTCGCTATCTGAAGCCAGCAGGGATCTGTTTCTACACGGAGCCAGCCATTTAAAGCACACGTTCCAGAAAACCAGCATATACAACAACTCTGCACTGCCACCAAGAACAATTCCTACAGCACAAGCTTTTCAGTTTTCCCTTTGTTTTCACTATGAAGTTTTTGAGAAAGACTCTCAGCACCACCTCTCCCCCTCCCCACAGGCATAATTTGAAGACCAATGTACACAGACAGAAGACAAAAATGATTACACAAGAAGGGAATGACATCAGTGTTTACTAGCCAGGCTGGAAAAGGAATAATCACTTCTCCGCTGGGTGGGTAGGGAGAACAGCTCCAACAGCGAGCAAGGAAAACATCGCACCGAAGTCCGTGAGCAGCTCTTTGGTGCCAACCCGAGCAGCCAAAGCCCCAGTTACGCAGCGTGTCGGGGCCACCCGAGCCCCCGGCTGGGTTTTAAGCGGGACGACAGAGTAAACACACGGTCTGCCCGCACCGGGCCCGGGCGAGCACACAGCACAGCGTTATATAAGGCCACACACTCCGCCCGGGAGAGCCCCCGGCTCCGCCGCGCCTCCGCTGCCGAGCGCGGGCAGCCCGGCCCGAGCAGCCCCGCCGGGGCCCCGGGCCGAGCAGGAGCCCGGAGCGCAGCGCCGCCCCCGGCGGCCCCGCGGAGCGGCCGGGCCGAGGGCCACGCCGGGGCCGTCCCGCTCCGGGCCGAGCCGAGCCCGGCGCCGCCGCCCCAGCCCGGCACCTTTGTAGTGGACGCGCAGGTTGCCTTGCGAGAGGCCGATGTAGTTGTACTTGTCCTTGGGGCTCCAGGAGCGCGGCAGCGGCGTCTCGTCCTGGTTGACGGCGGGGTAGAGGCGGCGGAGGCGCCGGCTCAGCTCCTGCTCCTCGGGCGGCCCCGGCGGCGCCGCGTCCCCGCCGTGCGGGCTCCCCGCGCCCGCCTCCGCCATCTTGGACCCGCTTTGTGTCAGCGGGCGGGGAGCGAGGCCCGGCCGCGGCCGGCAGCCAATGGGCTGCGAGCGTGCCCACAATGGGGCCGCGCCGCCCGACGGGAAGCGCAGTCCGCGTCACTCCTGCCCGCCCGTCACTGTCTCTCGCCGAGACTACAACTCCCGAGAGGCGGAGCACGCAAAGCCCCGTCCCCCCTTCGGCGCGCTGCACGGTGGGAACCGTGTCCCCGTTCCACTCTGCTCCCCTCAGTGTCGCAGGGGCCGAGACTACCACTCCCAGCGTGCTCCGCGACAGCGCGGAGCCCAAGAGCCGCCCAGGGCTTGCAGGCGCTCGCCGGCCGCCTCCGCTCACGGGCCGGTTTCGGCCGCCGCGCGGCGCCCGCGCGTCAGGCACTGCGTGGGCAGCTATGGCGGCGCGCGAGGGGGTCCTGCGGGCGTGGCCGTTGCCATGGGGACGGGTAAACGGAGCGCGCGCCATGGCGGAGCGGGCCGGGGACGAGCGGCGGCTCCGCGCTGCAGCGGCACCCGCCGAGCCCCCTGCGCTCCGCAGCTGCATCCACACGGCTACGCAGTCGTTGTATGGGTTTTGTTTTAAATACAATTGTGCCTTGAGAGTACACTACAAAAACGTGAACTACTGCTGTGAAGCCACGGCCAGCAGGAAGAAAAACAAGAGCCTTGAGCAGACTTGGAGTATGAGTTCATTCTTCTGGGTATGACACACATAATTCCATGTTTCCATTCTTTTTCCATGTCTCCATAGCAATAACAGGCCCTTGTCATCATTCCAGAGCCATGACTGTGGGAGCAACTGCAGGCCTGCTTAAGGCAAGAGCTGCATTCTCTTATCTGCAAGTGAGCTCACAGGTCTGACTCAAGCTGCTCTTGACAGAATGATCTTCCTTTCCTTGAGAGAATATTTATGTAATTATATATTCATATATTTAGAGTTGATATATTTATATATTTTATACAATATATAAATTTTATAATATGATATCATATATAATATATATGATATATATTATATATGATATATAAAATATATAACATATATATATTTACAATATAATACATTATAATACATTTTCATATATTATATATTTTTATATATAATTTATATTATAATATACAATATATATCATAACATATAATAATATATATTTAATATATAATATAGTATATATTACAATAGATGTTAATATATATAATATAATATATAATGTATATTTTAGATATATTATGCAAAATATATTATAATATATATTAATATATAATTTATATACTATATATTTTATAATATATAATATATATATTTTGATATCTGTACAAGCCAGTTTGATACAAAAAGTTACAACCTCTGAGGCTCCAGACTGCCAAACAGGTATCTACTGTTTGGAATACACCCAGTCTCAGGAAAAGGCTGCAGTGAGTTGAAGGATTCCATGAACTCCAAAGGCAGTGCCAGCCCAACAGCTGACAGGCAGCAGGTGCAAAGCACTGCCTCCTCCCACTGCTCCCCGCGGGAAGCTGCACCTCCTGCTGAGAAGAAAGTGAACTCTGACACACAGGGGAGAAGGGAATCCCATCCATGCAGGACATCAGACACTGCTCCCAGCAGAGCTTCTCAAAGGACCCTTCTCTTTCCAACCCTTCGGTCACACTGTATCAGCAAAAAATGCTCTTTGTTGTATTAATGGAATTATGTTTTGAAAAAACCCTGGAAAAACGCCTGCCATTTGGATTGGCATTGCCTGCTGAAGAGATTTTAACTGTACTGGCCATTGTGTCCTTCAGTGCTGCTCAGAACCTGTTTAATTCCAGCTCCTGCTGCCAAGAGCTGGCCTGGATTTCCAGCAGTGCCCATGAACTGTGCCACGTGGCTGTGGTTTGAGGAGGCTGTAGTGCACACACAGCACAACCCAGAGGGGAGGAGGATCCATACTTGCAGCAGGACTTAGGACAGCCTCAGATGGGGAGAAACAACTCGTGCCACACTGGCTGCCCAGAAGGAACTGAAGAGAAAGTCCAACATCCATCTCCATCCCTCTGAAACTGGCACATGTGACAGGCATTACTCTTTCCCAGCTTCTGAACTATTCTACAGTCACATTCCCTGGCATCCTTTGCTGTGTCAGATCTCATTCCTAGTGTAGTTCAGGCTCCCTGGAAGCAGTACAACCACACACAACAGTTTTGATTTGTTTCCCTGTGTGAGGAGCACAGCAGGGACCAGCTCCTCCATGCAGCAGCTGCCTGTACAGGAACACCAGAGCAAAACAAAGGGGCACCATGGCTGCCATGAAGAGCACCCACACAGCCAAATGCCTGCTAGGAACAATTTCAACACCACAATGCAGGAGGAGCCTCTAAGCTCACTGGCATAAGCAGCACTGGCATCACAAAAAAATACATGTAACATTTTATTTATCAGAACTGTACAAGTATTCAAAGGTAACATATAAAAACAGAGATAGTCAAATTACCTGTAACAAAAGCATCACCTGGAGCACTGACATGCAACAACCCACCATCCCACCCCCAGGGGCCAGCCCTGCAGCTTCACTTGCAGGGGATCACTTTATTTCCACTCACTGCCACGGGAATCAGGAGCCTGCGGTACTCCATGGGGAGGTAACGCTCTATCAGCACCGTCAGCGGCATCTTGTCTGTCACCAGCCCCTGCCTTTGGCCAGAGAGAGAGCAGGGAACAAACCAAGTTGTTAGTGAAATGTGCTTCCGCTCAATTTCAGAGTACAGTTTTCTTGCAGTGATGTTTTTGCATTTAGGAGGTGAAATGCTCTGACTGCTTGTGACAAACAGCTCCAGACTCGTGTTTGCAGGCAGCTTCTGAGCTCCTGTGCATGCTGCAGTGCCAGGACTGCCCACACAGCAGAGCAGACAGACCCAGAGGGTTCCTGCAGAGCAGCTTCCCACTGTTTACCATGGGGATATTCATCTGTATTGATCAGGACCAAAGCTCATTGCTTTTTAAATTCACAATCCACCTACCGTGGGATAAATTCTACTCTTTGAAGACGTGCACAGAATGATGTGACAGAAGGAAATAGCTCAGTACCCAGATTTTTTTTACAGTCACAACTCAGAGGTGGTTGGCATTTGCTAACTGTGTAGGCCATGGAGTTTTCCTGTACACCATTTAGCTGACTGGCCTGAAAAAAATCAGCATCTCCCAGTTTTGTAAAAGAAAGAAAGTGCAACATTTATTCACACTTCCCATGTGGAAGGAACAGAGATGCTGTTCTTATGCGTGAGCCAGCAACAATTCCTGATCTCTTTATGAGGCAGTAAAAAGGCATAAAGACATCTAGAATAAGGTGAAACAACAAGTACATGGAACTCCCAAACCAGGACAAGTAACCCATCATGCCTTCTGGCCTGTTCATACCAACCTCAGCACACACCTGTCAAGTGGGAAAACAAAATCTCTGGATCAGGACAGCAACAGATTATTCTTTTTAAGCAGCAGCACCAGCTCACCTACAGAGGCCCATGCAAAGCCAGTGTCATCAGCTGTGCCCTGTGCTATCCCCCAGGTGACTTTAACATCACATTTGAAACTCTTCCAGTGGAGATTAAGAACAACCACCCACAGTAATGAATTTAAATGAAAAGTGGTGGATTGCTTTAGGCCTCACAGAGGGCTTCCAAGCCAAGAATAAATCCCTTGTGTTTTGGTCACAGAACAAAGTAAATCCAGGTAGGAGATGGGGCAGCTGTGAACATCCAGAGGACAGAACACCAGTGAGGCAGCTCTGAGAACAGCCCTTCCAGGCTGCTGTCCAGGAATGTTGCTGTTAGGAGAGGCCAGCCCTGCCCACCTGGGCTGGGGGCTCTTTCTGCTGCTCTCGAGAGGAACTGTCAGTTTGGATCCCCAGCATCAGCTTGTGCAGCAACAGGAAGAGCTGTATTTTGGTTGGAAGAGCAAGTCACCAAAACAGACAGCAGGACGTGTGAAAATGCTCAGTGTCAGTCGCAGATGATTTTAGCAAAGAGCTCACCCAAGGATGCAAACAGTGCAGCCCAGACTCCCTCTTAGCATTTCTCCACTTCTCCACACTCCCCAGACATTACTGCTACATCCTTACACAAATCCCTCTCCTCTTGGTTCCTCAAGTGACTCCTTGCACTCACAACCCCTCACTACTTCCCCTTGCCTCTCCACCATCACCAAGTGGTGTAACCCTAGTCCAGGGATGCCTCCTGGGACAGAAGTGGCCTCACACAGTAAATCCCAGAACACTTACTATACAAACACTGCTGGTGCACACTCTGGCAACAACCAGGTGTTACTGGGCTATCAAAGCACCACCAAACACTACTGCAGATTTGTAAAAACCCTTCCATTACCTTCTCATCAGGACTTCCAGGTCAGCTGCCTCCACTGTCTTCCTCCCTGCATGGAGGGTGTAAGCTTCCAGATCATTGCTCAGCTGCTTGAAGTATCTCTCGCAGCTGAGGGGGGAAATCAAACCAGACTGTGGCGTGTGTGAACACCAGCTACTCACCCCCTTCTGCAGGGCAAGCTGCACCAGAGCTGCTCCTTGTGCAGGTCACAGCCTGCCAGGGAAAGCTGGGGGAGAAGAAACTCTCAGCCCACAAACAAAGCTTGGCTTCTCAGCCCAGGTTCCCTGGAATTTCACTGCCAAGACAGCTGTGAAACAGCTGCACAACCAGCACTTTCCCACACCTCCCACGCCTGCAGGAACAGGGGCTGACACCAGTGACAGAGAAATCAGCACTGAGGGTCAGATATTGGCTACTGCAGTGACAGTGTTCAGACTTTACTCAGGAAGGCAACAAGGTCTAAGGGTGCAAAGAGCTGAGAAACCAGCATTCCAATGGAACACTGCACACCCTCACTGCGCCCAGCACGATGGCCATTGTCCAGAGCCATCCTGCTCATGGAAATTGATAAAGACAATCTGACTGCTACAATTTGTTGGGACAAAACCCAGATGCTCCTGAAAGGCAGCACTGATCAGATACCCACACAACACTTGGCATCTTTCTGCCCATTGCCTCCCAAGACTCTTTCCAGCTGAAGAGAGAGGGCTGTCAGCTTGTCAGAAGCACTCCCAACAGGTTTATTACTTCAGGGGAGAAAAGAAAGAAAAAAACCTCAACAGTAAAAATAATGGAAAGAGCAGTTTGCTGCTACGTACCATTTTTCAACAATTTGGAATGCATCTCTGGTTACTGGCACTTTAGCAAAATGTCTGAATATCTCCTTTATCAAACTCCTTGGTACTTGAGGCTCACGTGGTTTCTTCTTGGATGTTCCCAATCTCTTAGAAACTTTCTTAGGCTGCAGCAGCTGCAGGGGAGACCTTTGAGGAAAATTGAAAATTCACACATTGAATGAACAAGGGAGAGGCAGAGAACACCAGGCTGAGTTTGGAGAAACCCTAAGCTGAACTGGAAGGGATAACAACTACCTTGAGCTCTTCATTTTTTCTCCCTCCCAATTCTTCAAAACTCTCATGGGGCAGTTTGCAAACAGTTCATGTGGCATCATGGCCTTGAGAGAAGCAATCCAGGCTCAAGTTGCCTTGATTCCAGAGTTCCCATGTAACACACTGTATTCCCTGTACAGCAGTGCACAACATTTGAAGCACCATAGGTCACCTCTGCATCTGTGGACAGGGGAGGCTGCTCTGCAGGGAATCCTTCTACGCTATTAAGAACTTCTGTGGGGGCTTTTTTGTGGGCTGTAGGGTTTCCCACCCCCCCATTAAACAAGACTGTAAGTCCCAAAGGAAATTACAATTCTCTTCCATTCTAAAATAGGAAAAATTGTAACATGGAAGAGTTAAGTGAAACCATGGACTCACTCAGAATGTAAATGGAAAACAACAGAAAAGCACTAGAACCTCAGGCTAACACATGCAAAACCTCAGAGAGGGTGTGTGGATCACTTGACTCTCTCTAGTCCACCCATACGTGGGCAAAAGAATTTTGTCTTCTTGCTTATTGCTTTAATAGATAAAGCTCTGAAGTCATGGGCTAGAAAATTCCTCCTGCTCCCTAGGAAACACTGCTAGTGGTTCTGATGAAACTAAATTTCTAGACAAGAGGGTGCAAGTGTTAACTAATTTGGATTAATGCAGAGGACAGGTTCACTTTCTGCCTCTAAGAGAGCTTCATTTTAGTAGCACATGGCAACTGCACACAGCTTTAGGCTTCTGCAGTCAATACAAGTATGTCATTCCACGTGATCAGTGTCCTGCCATCTGTAATTCCCCCTCTTCTGCAAGGGCCTCTGCATCCTCCCTGGAATCTATGGCTCCAGAGTGGCTTACCACTTGAAAAACTCCTAGGAAAAGTTTTGGCCTTTAGCACAAGAAAATATTACAAGAACATTAATTAGAAAGCCTGAAGGCATCAGACCTGCTCTGGAAGAGCACTGACATTCACTCACAGACTTCAGCACTGCTCACTCCCTGCCAGAGCAGCTGGCAAAGCCAGGCTCTGCTCTGCCCCCAGCCCCACCTGTGCCAGGCTGGACATGGCTTAGGCTTACCTGGGAGCAGCAGGTTTTGCAACACGTGGCGTTGACAGCAGGTTTTTGGCTGGAGCACGGACAAACGCAGGAGTCTTCATGGAAACCTCTGGGAAAAAAGTACTGGAGGAACTGAAGTCTCTTTCCAGAACTCCTGAAGCAGGCAGTGCTGCCAGCAGACAGAAACCCAGCCAGCTCCCCACATGCCTGTGCTCTGGCTGTGCCCCACAGCACCCCGAGCCAGCACAGCTGCTGGCTGCTGCAGTGCCACCCCCACAGCTCCTGTCACACAGGCTGGTGGCTTCCCTTGGGCCCCTGTGCTGGCCCAGCTGGCTGGCCAGGCTGCAGAGACACACTCAGGAGCAGGCTGCAGTGGCTGATGGCTGGGTTAATTTAGGTTGCCACAACACTGCATCCTTTTTAACCTGAGAGAACTTCAAAGTCTAGAAGTTACCTCTGTCATCTTGTTAAGCCACTGGCAAATTCTCCTGAACAAAGGGTCAAGCTGAGCTACAGAGTCACATTACAAGGGCCAGACTATAAATTTCTCCCTGTTTGCAGATCTTCCTAACTCACTCCAGGCAAGGCTCCTGTTATCAGCATCTCACCTGTTCTCTGCTATGAACCCACAGCAGTTTCCTCCAAGTCTAATCTGCATTGTCTTTAACTTCACTCTTGAACTTCTTCACTTCTTAACAAGTGAGAGCAGGAAAGGAAACAATGTTAACAGAAATGCTGAGCAGATTCCTTACCTTCACTTGGAGGGTGTTCAGCTTCATCCTCAGCAGCCTCTTCCACTGAATTTTCGAAATTTAGCATCATAGCCTCGTCCTGTAGTTCATCTCCTTGTTCATCAGTTTCATTTAATTGAGTCATTTCAGGTTTTTCCAATGAGGAAGAGGCATGAGAGTGCCTGCCCAGACTTCCAGCTCCAATGCCTCTGGTAATCTCATGTTCTAGATTTCCAAAACAGAAAAAATAAAGCACTGAAACAAATATCTTTGCCTGATTCTGAAACTTCCTCTAGTAAACTTTAATAGAAGATACCTGCTGTAACTGTACATTTCTAACACTACTGCCAGTACAATTTTGGTTTCCCTTTAAATAAAATGCAGTTTCCCTTTAAATGAAATGCATTCCTGCTTAAAATGACAAAATCAGTTCAATATTTCCCCAGTAATTAGCCCAGGTTCCAGAAAACAAAGGAAGTTAAGGCTCTGTCTCAGCACTGATGCCAGTCGTGCAGCATGAGAGCACCCTGGCACTACAGAGAGCTGCCAGCATTAGAGGTGTCCTCACCAGCTCTGGGAGAGCCGTGGGCTCCAGTGCTGCCTTCTTCCAGTTCCTCCCCTGCTGAAGGAGCCCTTTCTGCTTCACCTCTGCTGTCCTGTGCTGCAGTTATCTGCAATTCTGCTTTTTCAGCCAGTTTCTTCTCCAAATGTTCAGAATATCGAGCACTTGCACCATGTTCTGCAGCTAAAATAATAAATTCCATCATACATCTCACCTACAAAAAACCCCAACCAACCACCAGCACACAGTTCAACCACCACTGGAATTTATTTGTGATAAATAAACTCAGCCATAAGATGTAAAAAAGAAAAGCAGTTCCCTTCAGAGCTGAGAAATGCCCAACTTTTTCTGTGTTTGCTCCACAGCCACCTAATTAGAGACCCATCAGATCCCAATGAAGGAATTTTACTTACAGTAAGCAGAGCTCCTCCAGATCTGCCATCTCTAGGGCCATTTTAAATTTTGGTGATTGTGTAAAAGACCAGTTTACTTTCCTTTAAATCTAACAATACCTGGAGTTTGTGCTCAGATTCTCCTCCTCATCTCCTCCATTTTTCTGAATAAACAATTTTGTAAGAGATATATTCCATTGTAGAGAGAAGAGAGCCTAGAGTGGTTTTAACCATCCAGGACAAGCCTCTGGCATGCAGGATGAGAAATACACAGACACATGACTTGCTTGTGTTTAAAAACTTGATCTACTGACTACTTAAGTATTCATTTTTCCTTTATACTACATATATAGTCCACGTATCTGTTACTATGTAGCTCAGTTAAACAGAAACACACACAGGTAATTACTTTGTGAAAATTGGGCACTCTGACATCATGACACACATGACAATGCTGTCATTCACTGAAGGGTTTGGAAATCTTGGCTGAGTTCAGAACCAAAAGCTGTCAAACGGCACTTTCACCATCCTCTCCAGCAACTGGGAGTTTTCACACTGAAAAGTACAAGTGTGGCAAGGCCTTGGGACCCCCAAGCCCAAGGGAAGGGCACAAGGAAATCTGGGCAAAGGTAGTGCAAAAATCAGGTATATCAATTTCATTAACCAGAATATTGGGCTGCCTACATCAACACAGGGTCTAAAGTGCAGTGAAATATTAACCAGCTTAGATTAGCCAGATGAGAGCTCTTCATCTTTCCTATGGGAAGCTGAGCAGTAGTACAGATCTGCCAAAACATATGAACCTTTATTCCACTTCCAGTCACAGCCCACTTTTAGAAAGCTTGTCTGGAAATGTCCAAGTATTTCTGGTATGTCTTGAATTAAATTATTTCCAGCATCTACTGTACAATTAAGTCTTATTTTACTCTGAGTAAAATAAATCTTATTTTACAAGTCACCTGAAAAACTCTGTTTAAATCAGACTGTACTCCATTCCCTTTCTGCAATGAAAGTACATCTTACCCTCAGGGAAAATCTGTTCCTGTTCCACTCCATTCTCTGTATTAATCATCTCTTCTTCTGTATCACTTACTTCTAGGTCTTCGATTATATGGGACACAACTTGTCTCAAATACATTCTGGAAACATTTAGAGTGACTGGGGATCCCAAATATGTACTTGAACTTTTGGAGGGCAGAGAGGAGCTCCATCTATAAACACCTAGAACAGATCATTAATGTGTCTCCTGGTAGCTTTTTAAATTTTCTTTTAGCTTTCCTGGTAAATAAAAAACCAACAAAGGAGGGAGAAGAAGACACACAATAAACACTTGTGTGTACTTCAAGAAATTTAGGGAGTTGGCATCGAACTTCAGGAACCAGTTGGAAAAATCTTTGCAACTGTTTTTCAGCTGACACTGAGGAGCAACACCACCTGCAGCCTCCTGTGGTAGAGCAGAACTATGTCACCATTAACATCTGACATTAATGCCTTATTAACTCCAGCATCTTAAAGATCAGCTCACTCCCCCTCCTCTTCCCCTCACTGGATCCAGTCCCCTATTCCACATCCTCCACTACTTGCATTACCTATCCCTTTGTCCTAAAAATGCCTGCCATTGGAGCTGCTCTGAGCAACTAACCTTTTTCTGTTAATTTCTTCCCTTGTCCTTTCAAAACAACTTTTGCCTGGTCCAGAAAGTATAAAGAAAACCTGCTCCCATTTACACAACCAGGACAAGGCCAGGGAAATGAATGCCAAGGAGAGTTACCAGGGGAAAACTGGCAAGCAACAGGAATTGCAAAGCATTGGTACAGAGTGAGCAGGGAGGCAGCTGCCTCTGTCCAAATATTTTTAAGGCCTGGAGACAATGGAGAGGTTGGCTGTGACAAGTAAGTGACCATACCACGGTGAAGGTCTGGACTAGAAACTTCCAGAGATTCCTTCCAAGTCTGTCTACATGTCCTACATATTGTCTCCTTATTTTTTGTGACCAATTTAGAGTGCCCACTTCTGGGGTCCCAGTACCAAGGAGAGATGGACACAGTGGAGAGTCCAGCAAACACCCACCAGGACAGTTAAGGGACTGAAACATCTCTCCTAGAAGGAAAGGCTGAGAGAGCTGGGACTGTTCAGCCTAAAGAAGAGAAGGTTAGGGCAGATCTTACCAATATATACAAGTGCCTGAAGGCAGGGTGTAAGGCAGACAGAGCCAGACTCTTCCCAGTGATGCCCAGTGCCAAGAGGAAAGGCAACTGGCACAGACTGGAACATGGGAGGCTCCATCTGAACACAAGGAAGACAGTTTGCAGTCATTACCCTTGGAGACTCAGGAGAGCCACTTAGTCCTGGGCAACCTGCTCTATGTGGCCCTGCCAGAGCAGAGGGGCAGGAGAAAATAACCTTGAGATCCCTTTCTACCTCAACCACTCTGTGAGTTCAGATAACACCTGCTAAGCCTTAACCCATAGTACTCACTGCAAACCACCTCTTCTTCAGTATAAGAAATCTGGGCCGCTGGGTTATTCTGCTGGGAATGGTCTTGCTTTTCTTCTTCCTGTTTTGCAGGGCTTTCTGGAGATACATGGGTCATTCTGTCAACATGCTCATCATCAAGGTTTGAGCTCTTGGAGTATCTTTGGGTCCTCCCCTGGTTTGTGCTCACACTGGGTACTAGGCCCTCCAGCCTTGCTTCCTCTTGATCTGCATCAGAAATCAGGCTCCTCTGTGCTGAAGCTTTTGAATCTGACAGCTGGGATTCAAGAGCAGATAATTTATTTTGGCTCTCTTCATCCAGCTGGGGCTGAACAAAGAGCTCTGTGCTATTCATCATCATTTCTGCATCACTTGTCAGGATGCTTGTTCGAATCCCAGATGCAGATTGTGAGTCCACAAGATCGTTCTGTCCTGTTGAGAAAGTTTCAAAACAAATTTTGTGTGAAAAACTGTTCAAGGTCACAGGGACACACTATACTACTAGGATTTGTGTAATTCACTATTTAAGTCATTCAACCAAATTTTACTCCTCAACAGACCAAACACTGACACAGTATGACCCCGCTTCTGTGCCCACAACTCTCCCTATCAATAGAGACCTCAGCACCCACAGACGAAGATGATCCCAAACAATTCCTGTGGTTTAAATGACCAAACCATGCAAAGTACATATTTAAGAGCATAGAATCCCAAACAATTCCTGTGGTTTAAATGACCAAACCATGCAAAGTACATATTTAAGAGCATAGAATCCCAAACAATTCCTGTGGTTTAAATGACCAAACCATGCAAAGTACATATTTAAGAGCATAGAATCAAAGGAACTGCCAAGGCAGAACCTCATTCTAATCTTGCCTCCCAAATCCCACTCTATTTCTGTGAAGGTGTTAGTAAATTTTAAATTCTAAAATACAGACCATGCTTCAGTAAATGCTTCTAAAAGCCCCTTTAAAGTAAGGCCCTGCCTCCCAAAAGAGAAATAACAGCACTAAGGAAACCTTTGCTCTTCAGCATGTTCTGTTCCACTCTGCCTTCAAACGCTTGCATGTCCACAGCCCTGCGGGTTTTGGGCCTCCGGAGCAAGCCCCTCTTCTCAACGGTGTCTGGGGCCAGCAAGGAACCCACAGACATATGAAGGGATCTGTAAAGAGAGGGGGGAAACTGTCACATCACACACTGCAGAATACAGACATGATGGCACTAACAGCGACACGTTTTGCAGAACTAGGAGAAATTTCCCCAAAAAACACTTGAAGATTATGAGTCAGTCTTTAAATGAATTGTTTATTTTCATACTACCACCAACATCAGGACATGTATCACAGAGATCAGGAAGCAGACTGTTTTAAAGCCTCTCTGAGACACTGCAACACTACAGCTGACAAAAGGGTCAGAAATATAAAAAATCTTAAAATAACAAAAAATAAAAAGGAAAAAAAAATGTTTCAGAGTAAAGATATACCTTAGATGACAATGGGGTGGTAGGAGGACTTCCCAATAACTTTAAGAACCTACTTACTATCAATACTCTCAGCAAAGTACAGCTACCAACACATTGTGACTGGTTTTAAGATGAGAGCTGATAGCAACACCTAAAGCTGATAGCAACACCTAAAGGAAATGTTTCTCATTGCAGGTGTTCTCTACCCTGAAGACTGATCATGCTCAGTGACCTCCTGCCCCTCTCTCCAGGCAGGGTTCAAAGACAGAATGCAGCCCCAAAAAACATCTTGTGTGGCACCCCACAAGGGCTGCAGTGAGAAAAGTGATTTTGGGCTGGACTGATTTTGGCCAGGGTCATTTGCAAAGTACATAGGCAACACCAGAAAGTAAGTTCTTAGACTCACTAAAAAGGTTTAAAGTCCAGAAAATACTGCATAGATGCAATTGATGTGATAAAACTATCAACAGGCAGGGATAATATTCTAAGGTATACTGTGTACTGATTTACATAATTTTCTAAGATATATTGTGTACTGATTTACATAATATTGTAAAATATACTATGTACTGATTTACATAATATTCTAAGGTATAATGTGTACTGCTTTACTGCTGGAATCATGAGAAGGAAAGGAAAAAAGGAATGATCCAAGCAAGTAAAGAGAGGAGCAACAGTAGCAATGCAAGCTAGACCAACCCAGGCATACAGTGCAGAGCCACAATTTCTGAAAATCAAAAGGTGTGTGGTGCAATACCTTGAAATTCCACCAGCAGAGGGGCAGATGCCTGTTTTACTGCTAACACCAACACAGCTCCTGAACATGAACCCAGGCATCTGCACTGCTCCTCACCCCTTCAGATGGGATCACAGCCAGGGCAGACAGAAGGTAAGACACTTTAGGTTAAACTCACCGAGCCATAATTGTGCTGTCCAACGTTGACTGAGCTAGAAAAAGTTGATGGCACATTAGCTGAGAAATTACCCTTTCCACAACAGGCTACAGGAACATCCCAAGGGATCTTCCTCTTTTCAGAGCCAGCCATGCTACAATCCTCAAACATCATACTTTGGTACAAAGAGAATTAGATAACGGGGTCACTTCACTATTTCTTGTCTACATTTCAGAATTGCATATTAGAAATCTAATAAGCAATTTCTGAAAGGGTAAGAAAGATATTTCATTTATTTCAATGAAAATTTAACATGCATATACCCTCAGATTTAAAAATTTTACCACATTGATAACAAGATGTTAGGCCTTGGTCACAACCACCCTTCAGCAACCCAACCCAAACACATGTGGAGTTTTAGAAACACGGACATCTATTCCACAGATGAAACTGGAACTCAAACCTGTTCTGCTCACAAAGAACTTTATCATTATTTTATATCATTGCAATGGAAACTATACAGCTGCTTGTATTTTAAAGTTTCTAAAACTGAGAAGAAGGCAGGGTTCCTCTGGAGACACTCCAAAACTCAAAGAACACCAAGTTGCAAAAGTAGTCAAGAAATTATATATAGTCATGGCAGAGCCTAGAACTTGGCTAAAAAAGGTTTATTTTAAATTTGAGAGGATGGGGGCTTTTACTTTCTCCATTATCCCCTTTGCATGAGATATTGCAATCTGGATTCCAAACTTACAACTGCCCAGCTGGGCAGCTCCTGACAACTGAGCTGAGCAGGTGAGAACCAGCTGACAGGAATGCAGCCCTGAGCAAGGTAATTCCTGACTGCAGCCTTACCTTGGTACTGGGGAAGGCGTCTCTCTGCTGCCCTCTCAAACTCAGAAATGCTGAGTTTTTTTCTCTTCTTTTTCATGTGGAACACGGTGACAGATGTGTCCTCAGGAGCAACATCTGGCAGCTGCAATTCCCCCCTACCAAAACAAACCAAGCTGGAGAGGCATTTCTGACAATCCCACCTGACAAGATGCAATTCTGATCACTGAAACACAAGTAGAAGAGAAGTCCTGCTCCCCAGTTCTACCACAGAAACTGCAGCTCTACCTGGCATTGTAATAAAAGTGTAAATTATAAAAAAAACCCTACTTACGTGCTGGAAGCCCTCTTAGGTGGGACTTCTGCATGAGCTTCTTGTGTGTCTTCATGGTTAGATATCTGAGGTGCCAGCGGTGAAACCTGGGGCTCTGCCAACAAACCAGAACATTTCCTTTCCTCAGTTCAATACAGCAGGGTGTCACAGCTACACTACAGGCTGTAAACAACATTTACTAGCAGCTTAAAATAAACACCTGGTGTAAACTGTTTGGGTTCTGCTCCTGGGAAGGCTGGCAGTGACAAAGCCAGTGGTGACAGGTGGCAGCACAGGGGTTCCCTGCACTCAGCAGAATAACTCACACCTGATCCCACAGCCAAAGGATAATGTGCTCAGTCCCCAGGATAAGAAGACCAAGTGAAGAGGGTTTTGAAGAGGATCTTTAAAGCTATGATTTCACCAGAGCAAGGCCTGGCCTCTCAGGGAGCTGTATCCTGTATTCAGGTGCCCTGCAGTGACTCCTCTGTTAATAAATCAGTCATACAACAATCTGACTTCTGTCTCGTGTAACAGGGAAAGGATAATGGGCCACCAAGGGACTCCCTCTGTTTCCTTAACTTCACAAAAACATTGTCTTTCTGTTCTCAATTCTCCTGAAAAAAAGACACTTACGGTTCTGCATGACTCTCTTGAGCATGAGCCGTGGCGTGCCATTTCTGAGATCAGGGAACACTGCCAGTCTCTGCTTTGCCAAGGTGCTGCTGACAGATTTACTCTTATTTTGTACACTCAATCCAGTCTAGAGAGAAATCAAGACACAAGCAATTCAATGACAGTATTTTCGTTATTAAAGACCCCAACAGCAAAAGCATCCACAACCCACGTTCTAATAACAAGCTAAGCAAGCTGGTAAGAAACTTTTTCCAAATTTTAAAGAGGAACTGCGCGTGTTGGCTTTCTGACAATGGTGACACTTGCACTGTGGACGGGAGACAGTTCAGCCCGGGGAATGATCCAGGGGGTTCCAGATTAAAACCCTCCCGTGGACGGAATCCTCAGAGCACAGCCGCCACCTAAACCCGCCGAGAGCCCAAGTCAGGGGTTTCGGTCCATTTTCCACGATTAAAGGCGAAGAAGGGTGAGGGAGCGGCCTCTGCTCCTGCTTCAGAGGCCTCGCTGCCGTCTCAAACCGAGAGCGACCGGGCGGGCGGCACCGGGCGGGTCCCACCGGATGGTCGATCCCAACAGCGACTCTCCTTTCCTCCCTTCTTTTTTATCCCCTCCCTCCCGCCCGCCCTTGCAGATCCCTCGGGGCACCTGGGCCGCCGCCCTCGCGTTGTGGCGGCCGCTGCGCCTGAGGCCGGGCCGAGCCCGGGACCGCCCGTCAGCCATGACGGGCCCGGTAACGGCCGCTGCGCCTCCCGCGTCCCGCCGCCTCTCGCGAGACGCGCGCGCGAGCGCCGGGAGGGGCCGCGGCGCAGTGTGGGGCGGGTAGTTCCGCCGGCGGCGCGGTGCATTGTGGTCCGCGTAGTTCCGGGGCGGCGGCGGCGGCGGCGGCGAGAGGCCGCGCGGGCCTTGTGGGAGCTGTAGTTCGGCGGGGCCGCTCGCCCCGCTCGCCGCGGGTGTCCCCCCGCCCCGCGAGGCCATGCCGGGCTTCACCTGCTGCGTACCGGGCTGCTACAACAACTCGCACCGCGACAAGGCGCTGCACTTCTACACCTTCCCCAAGGACGAGGAGCTGCGGCGCCTCTGGCTCAAGAACGTCTCCCGGGCGGGCGTCAGCGGCTGCTTCAGCACCTTCCAGCCCACCACGGGCCACCGCGTCTGCAGCGAGCACTTCCAGGGCGGCCGCAAGTCCTACCTGGTGCGGGTCCCCACCATCTTCCCGCTGCGCGGCGTCAACGAGCGCAAGGCTCAGCGGGCCCGGCGCCCCCGCCCCGCCGCCGCCGCCGCCGCCGCCCCGCAGGGCCCCGCGGCCGCCGCCGAGGCCCCTGCAGGGGGCGCGGCCGAGGACGTGAAGCCCATCGACCTGACGGTGCAGGTGGAGCTCGGGGCCGCCGCCACCATCGGGCCCAGCCCCGTGCGGCTGCCGGTGCCGGTACCGGCGGCGGCGGCGGCGGGGGAGGAGAGCCCGGCGGAGGGCGGCCCCCCCGATCACTCGTACTCGCTGTCGTCGGGCACCACGTCGGAGGAGCTGCTGAGGAAGCTGAACGAGCAGCGCGACATCATCGCGCTGCTGGAGGTGAAGATGAAGGAGATGAAGGGCAGCATCCGTCGCCTGCGCCTGGCCGAGGCCCAGCTCCGCGAGGAGATCCGCGAGAAGGACCGGCTGCTCCACGCCGCCAGCGCCGGCACCCGCAAGCGCCACGGCCTCTGAGGGCTGCCCGCGCCCGGCCCGGCGCGGGGCTCTCCATCCCGGAGCCTCCGCCGCCCTCGGTGCGGTGCCGGGCAGAGCAGAGATGGGATGGACCGCGGCCCCTCCGTGCCCGGCTCGGCCCACGCCACAGCAGCGCCCAGCCGGGCAAGGCATTCGCATTCCCCTGCCTGGACTGGATCAGCTCCGTGGCCAGCGCCGTTATGCCCCGGTGTTGTCCCCGGGGTCGCCTCAGGCCGGGCCCATCAAACCCGCTGTGTGCGGTGTCGGAACGCGCTGCTCGCAGCGTGGATGGGACCCGAGTCGTCACTAAGTGGACGTAGGGTATCAGTTTTCAGCAAATAAACTCGCTGTGTGTCAAGTGAGGTTACAGCAACACTACCCTGGAGAAGGCGTGTCCGGCTGCCGCGGGCGCTGTCCCCATCACAGGATGGTCGGTGATGCGGCGTTCAGCCTCGCTCAGTGGAGGAAAGCTTTAGAAACCCTCTCAGGGTGATGTGTTTCTTCAGTAAATTACTGATGCCATAAAAGACTGCTGTTCCTAGCGTGACAGAAGCCCCAGATTAAAGAGTGCTCTTGTACCGTGTAGTTTCTGCTTTCTCTGCAGCGTGTGTGTATTGGTTACAGATGTCTCCATGGTCTCGACACCAGTAAGGATTGCAGTCTGGTACAAAGAACACGGTGGCACTTAACAGCTGTAGTTTATCTCATTGGCTTAAGACTCCCTCTAATGAAATGGAGGCTTTGTAACACATTGGAATTTTAATCCTTGGCTTTCGTTCTGAGAACCAGGATGAAACAGAAGTGACTTTACCTGCAGTGGTTGCAAACTTTTCCTGTCTAATCCTAAACTAGTTGGCATGACTAATAATCTGTACATTAGGCAAGACCATACTAAAACCTGCTTGTGTGTTCTAAACCAAGATTTAAGAGTATTGTAACAGATCTATGTCGAATGGTTGTGTAGTTTCTGTTTCTAGCCAGCATCAGTCCCTTCACTTTCTGCAAAAGGAAACCAAATCAGCGTTGGCTAGAAAGGGTGGAGCGAGGGTAGCGAAGCCACGGGTTTGGCTTGGTTGTGCACTTCCAGCCTGGCTGGTGGAACAGATCCCTCAGCAGCTGGGAGGAGGAGGAGGAGAAGGGGAGTGTCTGGTGCCCCAGCATGGCCCTGTGGCAGTGGGCAATGACAATGGATGTTGAGAGCAAAAGGCACTTCACCACAGTGTGCCCATACTCACCTTGGAGGGAAGAATTCCCAGGTGTTCCCTGGCTCTGTGAGATCCTTCTGGAAACGGAGTGCATTGTGCTCAGTAGATTGGGATGTCACTTTTACTAAATTTTATAGAGGTATTTTCTAAATGTAAAGAGTATCTTTAGTTTGAAATTATGTAATCTTTGTAACACTGGCTAGTGTAGCTTTACAACCATCAGCTTCAACACTGTATACAACCGAAGGAAAGGGCACCGTGGGGTTTTGTAGCCGGAGGTTTCTCTGTAGATCCTGAAGCCAGTTCAGCTCCAGGTGGTCACAGCCTGCTATGTGATGCATGGGTCATTTTTTATTAATGTGTGTGCCAAGTTGGATGGTCATCTGTAAGGATGCTACATGTCTATCCATGTACTAAGTCCTTGCTGTTACTTCAGTTTAATTTATTCTCCAATCTGAGATGTAGCTCTCCAGCTCTGTGCTGTACCGATTTTTCTGCGAGTCGAGTTAGCGGCGATTTTTTCGTTTGGTTGGTTTGGCTTGTTGTTTTGGGTTTGTTTTTGGTTTCTTTAGTAGGAGATACCTGCTCCACCATGGGATCTAACATATGTGATTGGTCCAGCAGCTCTAGATGCTCCCATCAAGACAGTAGGCACAACATCCCTCCTTGCAAACGAGGCTGGTTGTGCATCTGAGCTTGTTCAGAATGTGCATGTCCTGACAGTCATGGTACTTTTTCTACCATCAGGATGCACTTCAGGATGTTCAGCCATTCAGCCTTGCTGGACTGGTTACCTGCTGGACTGTTTGACTTCTCCAGGTTACACTGAGGTGCTAACATGCTTAATTTTAATAAAGTATATTTTGTTTTCTTACGTTTCCTGTCTCCTTGTGGTTTATATATCTATTTCTGAAAGGTTGTGGCTGCAGCTTTGTCTTTTCTTTTATAACATCTTTTTTTTCATTGTCAGCTCCACAGCTGGAACAGCAGGAATATCTTTACATTCATGTAGGGTGAGGAAGAGGAGTCTGAGGTCAGTTTAGTGTACCACACACCTACCTGCGCAGAGGTTGGAGCCATTGTGATGAGCCATCAGTCACAGGGTGCTCTCTGTGCAGCCAGGAGGGATTTGAGCAGGGAACCAGGCTTCCCCCAGCATGACTCTCCTGTCTAATGCCTGGTGGAGGAAGGAGAAGGCATGGCCTCCCATGAACCAGCCTAGTGCAGGGAAGAGCTTGCGTGTACTCTTAGAACTTGTAATTCCGCTTGCCAGAGTTCCTGGTTTCAGACTGGTTTAGAGCTATTAGTCTCAAGCAAATGTATGCAGCAAAAAATTTCAGCTGTGCCTCAACCATCACATTTTTGGGTTGAATTGGGAATGTTAAACGCAGTTGCAGGATGGGGAGGTGGTTGTCCCATTCTGCTCTGTGCTGGTGCAGCATCACCTGGAGTTCTGGGAGCAGATTTGGGCAGCATAGTACAAGAAGTATCTGAGGCTGTGAGGATGGTGAAGGGTCTAGAGGGGAAGCCATGTGAGGAGTGGCTTGTTCAGCCTGGAAAAGAGGATACTGAGGGCAGAGCTCATTGTGGGCTGCAGCTTCCTCAGGAGGGGCAGCCGAGGGGCAACGCTGATCGCTGCTGTCTGTGACCAGTGATAGAACCTGAAGGAACGGCTGAAGCTGCGCCAGGAGAGGTTTAGGCTGGATGTTAGGAAAAGGTTCTTCACGCAGAGGGTGCTCGGGCTTTGGAAAAAGCGCCCCAGGGCGGTGTCGCAGCCGCGGTGTGACCGAGCTCACGGCACGCTTGCACAACGCCCTCAAGTGCACCACGGGCCGCAGGGGCCGCCCAGCGGTGTCAGGATGGCCGAGCGGTCTAAGGCGCTGCGTTCAGGTCGCAGTCTCCCCTGGAGGCGTGGGTTCGAATCCCACTTCTGACAGATCGATTTTTTTGCGTTACGTTCGCCTTGTAGTTATTTAGTTAATTGATTTTAATTGCGCGCTTTTGGTCGGTTTTGTTTTTTTCATTCACGCTCCCGCCCCCCCTCCTCAGCTAAAAGCGCCCGATGGCGGCGCAAAAGTAGCTGTCAGAAGTGGGATTCGAACCCACGCCTCCAGGGGAGACTGCGACCTGAACGCAGCGCCTTAGACCGCTCGGCCATCCTGACCTGCCGCTGCACAGCTTCTTGAAGCCGCACCCCATCCCAGATCCCAGCCGAGCTGCAGTGTCTGGTCACTGCCGGGACAACCTCGGGACACCCCGGGCCAGCCCTGTGCCACTGTCTGCATTGACGACCTGTGTGATCGGACCCGGGGCGCCCTGGGGACATGACACCAAACGGAGAGCAGTGGCTGATAGTCCAGAGGGTCCTGCTGCCACCCAGAGTGACCCGGACCAGCCCGAGAATGGCTGACAGGAATCTCCCGGAGCGGAGGCTGATGGGGCACTACGCAGATTGCTCAGAGAAGCTGCGGCTGCCCCGTCCCTGGAGGTCTTCAAGGCCACGTTGGAGCAAGTCCAAAGGCTCGGAGCAACCTGGTCTAGCGGAATGTGTCCCTGCATGGCAGGAGGTTGGAACGAGGTGCCTTAACATCACTTCCAACCCAAATTATTCCAGGATTTAACAAGGAGACGCGTGTCGCCCGGATCCCGCAGAGGAGCAACGTCCGGCACCGGGATGCGCCGGAGACCACCAAATGTCCCCGGTGAGCACCGAGCAGGACACGGCTGCACGGAAGGTTCGCGGTGCCCCGGACTGCTCCAGGCAGAGCATCGCCAGGATACGGGGAGCGGAGCGGAGGGGCTGTCACGGTGGGGCCGCCCTTTGTCGGCGGGACGCCGCGACATACCGGGAGCGCGGCGCGGCGCCGGGCGGAGGCTCCGCCGCATGCCCGGGGGCGGCGGGGCGGGGGCAGCCGCGGGGCGTGCGCGGCATGGCGGGGCTGCCCGGCGCCGCGCGAGCCCGGAGCGCCTCCCCGGGCTCCCCCCCGGCCCTGGACGGCTCCTTCTTGCTCTCGCCGCTCGGGGGGCTGATGTGCGCCCAGGCCGTGAGTACCGGGGAGGGGGCGCGGCGGACGGGGGAGGGCATCGCCCACTTGGGTGCTTTTCTTCAGGTGGAAACAGCCCCGGCCCTCTTTGGCTGCCGCTCCTGCCCCATCTCCGCTGTCTAACCCTAGTTAATCGCCACCCCTAAGACAGCGCAGCCTCCTCTCTCGTCCTTCCCGTTGTAAAGTCGGATTCTTGTCCTCACATCCCTTGCCGGTTACAACTCCGCTCAGTGCCGGGTGGTTCCCAGTGCCAGGCACGGGCTGATCCGTGCGGGCATCTCCGCAGGGCACAGCCAGTGGATCGGGGCTGTGTGAAGCCCAGTGACTCCAGGGGAACTGTGCTGGGGATGCTCGTGAGGCTCTCACGCTCCCTGGAACACTCTCAGCTCTCCAGGTTGTCCTCCCAGGCTTTGACGGCTGCTCTCAGAGGAGCCCAAGGGTCCTTGCACCGTCAAATCAAGCAGCACATCGCTGCCCATTGCTTCAGCATCAGAGGCAACCCCAATAATCTCCCGCTGGTGCTGTCCCCGGGGCCGCGGTGCCACATGAGTGGTGGGTGTTCAGCTGCGTACTGGGTCTCTTGTGACCTGCCCACGGTGCTGCCCCGCCGCGTGGCAGCCCGCTCTCTCGTCCCTTCTCGGGGCAGCCTTGTGGGATGTGCCCTGAGCAGCCACTGTGAAACAGCTGGCACAGACCTGGCTCCTGGCTCCTGATTCCAGCCCCTGGGCATGGCTGAGCTGGTGGTGACAGAGACAAACGCTCAGGGAAGGGGCTGGGCAGGATGCTGCTGGGGGTACCTTGTAGGAGCACCTGGAAAGAGAGAAGGAAGCAAGACCAGCAGCCGAGACCTTTCAGCTCTGCAGCGTGTCCCACCTCTGCAGCTCAGGCCACACTTAAACAGACCCCTGCTTTCCCCCGGCAGCAGCCGGAGCAGGCAGCTCACACGTGCCACCTCCCACTCCTGCAGGAGCCCCCTCTGCGTGTTCCTCCCAGCACATATTTTGTGATCACGAGTGTTAGAAATGGATGTGACAGACAAGGAGGCATTGTCGGGGCAGCCGAGCAGCAGGGCGTTGGACGCGGGCAGGACAAAGGCTGTTGTGTTTCCTCCATGACAATAGGCGGTGCGGGCTTACACAGGGGCACAGCGGCTTTCCAAGGAGTCCTTCTCCTGCCGAGTGTGCCGCTGCTTTCCTGCACTGAGGGGAACCCAACTGCTGTTGGTGCTGGTGTGCCCGGGCTTGTGGGAGATGTTCTGTGCTTCTCCTGCAGGAAGCAGCCCCTGAACAGGTTCCCTTTTCCACCCCACAGGTGCTCGGTTTACTGGTGTGGTCTCTCATCGCCGCCACAACGTACCACCTCCATGCAGCATACGGCTGGGTGATGTTTGTGTCCCTCTTCTTCTGGATACTAACACTCCTTTTCTTCGTGATTTACCTCCTGCAGCTTCATCAGAAGTTCTACATGATCCCCTGGCCCCTCGTGGTGCGTAGCTGAGAGGGAGTGAGGGGGGATCCCAAGAGGGAAACGTCTTGGGAAGATAGTCGGGGAAGGCTTCAGTCTCTTCTGGGCTGATGGAGCCAAGTCCCCTGCACTTTGCACAGTGACATTGTTTCATTATGCCCTTGAATTGATTAGAAAATGGTCAAACCAGAAAATCCTGTGTCAATCCAGAAAGTTACAGCCACCAACTGCTGCAGTTGTGCTGTCATCCAAAAACCTCCCAGCACAACCTGGGGAGCATTTAATGTCTTCTCCTGGGGCATGGGGAGGAATGTGAACCTGGGCATTTTGCTCTTGCCTCTCCCCAACACGCACGAGCCCGAGCCCAGACCTCAGGAGCTCCTCTTTGTTTCCCAGCTGATGATCTACAACGCCGTGGCCACCGTGCTGTACATCACCGCCTTCGTGACGTGCGCGGCCGCCGTGCAGCCCACGTCCTGGCGGCAGTGGGACTACAACCGCAGAGCTGCCGCCTCCGTGAGTACCGCGGGCAGGGGAGGGCCGAGGGCTGGGGCAGCCCCCGTGCTCACACGAGGGATGTGCTCCTCTTCCAGTTCTTCGCCTGTGTCACGATGATCATCTACGGGGTGAGCACCTTCTTCAGCTTCCGCGCCTGGAAAGGGCTCGGCAGCAACGCGGCCACCAGCCAAGTGACCGACCACGCGTAGGGAGCGGACGGCAGAGCCCGGCCACGGGCCACCCTGCACCAGCTTGTGCCAGGCTTGGCGGCTTGGAGCCTCGTGTGCCACCAGGGCTCGTTCTGGGAGCAGCCTGTGCTGGCGGCGGTGGTCAGCACTGGCTCACGTGGACGCTGCCCTGTGGTTTCTGATGATGCTTCCAGCTGACGTGCCCACAGCACGACCCCAGCGGCATCGCCACGGGGGACACGGACTCGCTGGGGCTGCAGCTCCTGCTCAGCCCCGGGGCTCATCTGGATCCTCACCAGAGCAGCTCCACTGAGGGGGCTCAGCCAGTTTGGCACAGTCCAATACTAAAACTGACTAACCCAAGCCCAGGCTCCCCCCTCTGCTCATTCACAGCTACAGTGTAAGTAATGCAATTAATGGGGTGCAGAAACAGCGGCAGAGCTGGAAGATGAGAAGTGAAGCAAGGGAAGCAGTCATAACTGCTCTTGTATTGATTTCTAACAATTTGAATAGAAATTTTATGCTTTAAATAAAAACATTCCTAAATCCAGCATTGGAGACTGTCATGAGAAAACTTGTCTTGTGAGGAAGTAGCACACACAGCATGGCAGGGACAGCAGAGATGGCTGCTCCTTCCCACTCCATGTGGGTTTTAGCCCATGTGGGCTGTGGAAGGAACAAGTCCACAGGGTTCACCTCTCATTGCTTTATGCACACACACACTCAGAGTGTGCAGCCAAGACCACAAGAACACAAATGAGGTGCCAAGGCTTTGATCACTCCCTCTTCCTGGCTCAGCACCACACACTCCTGAGTTCACCTAATTAACCAGCAAGTCAGTTTTGCCCATTAGCTGCAGGTCATTTTCAGAAATTACAAACAAGTCTGCAAATCTCTGGGAACACAGGCAGGATCAGTGCCTCAGGAGAGGGAAGAACCACACTGCTCCCCCGTGCTGCAGACCACAAATTCACCTTTTGGGTGTTTGTCAGAATGAGAAGTGATGCCCAGCCAGGCAGAGCAGCTTTTCCATTCACACCCTCCTTGTACAAGGTAGTAAAAGTAGATTCAGTGAGTTCCAAAGCTGATGCATGGTGAGGTACACTGCAAATCTTACTGCAAGCTCTGCATGGCAAAAGTTTTACCAGCTTGTCTGCAGAGGCAGGATCAGGAATTGGAACTGCATTGATGGAAGGTGAGAACTGAAAAGGAACTAGACACATGACATTGGCCCATGACAGATCTGCCTTTATTTGGCTGTCAGTGAGTAAATGAAGGGTCAAATTTCCACAGTTATGAATATATAACATAGACACACATATATAACAGGAACAGTAAGAAAATAAAATCAATAAAATTAATAAAAATTAACATGGGAGGTCACTATTGAATTCCAAAATCTAAACAGAAAATTTACTTACACACACTGATAAAAGACACGGGTCTCAGCCTTCCAAACTCTGAAACGTTCCAAATTCATTTAGTTAGCATTTCTCCAGATTCAACTGCACCAGGCAACTGAGGCTCCAGAATCACCAGGCAACTGAGGGTCCAGAATCTACATCTCTCTGGGAAGGATGTGACCAAAGAAATGATATGCTGTCCCTATAAAGCAGCTAATGGCTGATCAGCATGAATTCTGCCTTGGCACCTTGTAAAAAACTTCCCTGCACACACTGACTTCTCAGTTAAAGCCACATCCCTGAGAATTGAGCATCTTTTACTGCCTAGGGCCAGACTGGATGGGATTGTGAGCAACCTGCTCTAGTGGAAGGGGGGTTGGAACTGGATGATTTCCAGTTAAGCAATGGTGCTGCAGGAACAGAAGGAATAAACTGTTCTCTGTGTTCAGCAGAGAAAGGACAAAGAACAAGGAGCTCAAACTGCAGCTCAGGCACTTTATATCAGAGTGCAAAAGGCTCCCTGCAGCAGCAGCAGCAGGGCACTGCAGAAACTGCCCAGACAAACCATGGCAGCTTCTAAGAACATCCTGGCAGACATGTCAGGACAAGTTTGGGTAGAGCTGGGGAAAGGAAGACTGCCTCTCACAGTCTCTTCCATCCATTTGTACAAGGGTTTAAAAATTCCAGAAAGCTTTGATTTCACCCCCTGGAGAGGGACCCACAGTCCTGGTGCTGCCCCATCGAACACCTCCCTCTGAGTGGAGCCGAGTCCCCGCCCCCCTGCCCGGCCCTCTCTTGGGAATCGCTGCCTTTCACCTCTGCAATTTGAATAGACCTTGCTTAAAATACAACAGAACTCCCTTCAGAACGACTTGTTTAATGGTTTAATGAAGTCACCACTAATGCACTGCTTAAATCCAGACTTCGACCTTCTTTCTCCTAGAAACACAGGAAAAAAAAAAGAAATCTGTGACTCCATGATGGTTTGGAATAAGCATTTCAAAAAATGAAACAGGCAATACATTTTCTGCTTCAACAAACCAATATAAAATTCCATGTTACTAGAGCATCTGTGATTGAATGTGAACCCAAGAAAGTTGTGCAGAATCCCTGGGGTGAGGGGGCTGTCCCCCTGCCAGCTCTGCCCATGTCAGAGCAGAGCCTTACTCAGCCCTGGTTGGGAATGCTGTGCCAGTGCCTCAGGGATCCGCTGAAATCTGGCTCCTGGCATTTGTCTCTCAGAGACCCCAGTCTGCAAATCCCAACTGAAACTCCTCCTGATGCTGATACATAGATTGCCCCATCTCCACAAAATTCACAGGGATGGGGAAGAGGCAGAGGCATAACCACAACTGTGACTCTTTTGCTCCTTGTCAAACAGGACTGGACCAACACTGGAGAGCACTGATTTTTATTTTGCTAGGAAAAACCTCATCCAAAAATCTTAGCACTTTTATTTCTCCAGCTGGCAGAGTGAGGAGGAGAAAACAAATGAAAGAGGCTTAAAAAGCAAAGACTAGGATTAAAAAATAAAAGAAGACACTATAGAGTCAGAATGGCCAAGGTGGAAAGGGATCTCTGGAGGTGATCTGGGCCAAACCCCACATTCAAGCACGGTCACTCAGGACTGTGTCCAGACAACTTTAGAATATCTCCAAGGATGGAGACTCCACAAGCACAGAGACCATCACAGTGAAAAAGTGTTCCCCTCTGTTCATTTGGAAAACAATGTTCACAAATGCAGGAAGTTCACAAAAACAGGAAGAGCTGCTCCACATGCCAGCTTTATTAATGTTTTCTAGAAATCATTAAATGTGCAGTTTGAGTTTAAAAAGCTACTCATTGAATTAATTTTTCCTTTGACTCCATTACAGCCTTTGATTAAATACTGTGACCTACTGTAGAAACGTTTCCTTTGGCACTCTCAGGTGGAGCTACACAAAACCAACAGCTACTGTGCCAATGAAAATAAACAATGTGATATACTCACAGCTCTGTATTCCAAGAACATTTCTTTGAAAGCCAGAAAGTCAGTAAATGTGAGAAGCAGATCAAATATATCACCTGGCATTTCATCTTTGTGTTGTCTACAGAGAAAAAGAAGTTGGGGAATGAGAAAATTGTGTGAGAAAAATTTGTTATTTTTAAAATGGTACAAGGTCAAAAAGGACAAGTAGAATGATATCAGTATTTAAACAAGAATATTATTGCAGGTTATCATATAGCAAAGCTGCAGCCAAATATTACCATGCAGTATTTCTAATCCAACTACAATATTACATTTATCTAAATCCTATAAGTCAATCAATACCTATAAGTATCATATCAGTCCTTGAAAACCTGACCTGGTTATTTAAGAAACATTAAAAATTAACCAAATTCAAACGTTTGAAGATACTCAGTTCTCAACTACACTTGATTTTCTTATTCAAGGGGAAAACCAGTGATCTTTCAAAAACAAGCTCTTCAGGTAGCTGGTAAAGCTAAAATGACCCAATGCAAAAGCTGAACACAAACCAAACTCTGCTCTGGATGCTCCATATGAAAACTGCAATAAAGGAATTCAACCACATGACTGAAACACCACCAGGCTACTGAGGTGCCTGGAAGAGATAAGACACAACCTTTTAAGGGTCTGGCTTCAAAGTGGCAAGAAATACAAAAATCTTGCAGTGCTCTCAGTCTGATTTCTCCTCCTACCCCTTCAAACCCAATATATTTCAGCAGGACAATTCAGAAATTTAGAGTAGCAGGACATACTGAAGGCAAGAAAACTGGTCACTGCCAGCATGAACACTTCTATTTTAAGTTAAAGTGGAACCATTATCTAAAGGGAAGACAGCCAAAACCCTAAGCTTTAATCTAGATAAAAAGAACTGAGAGGCACACAATCCACTCCTCAACCAAAAGCAAAGCAGAGACTTACTGCAATGACACTGTGAAAGCAACCATATCAAACCCACGAATCCGATCAAGCAACTTCTCTTCAATGTATTTCTCTACTAAAGAGATCTGAAAAAAACCCAGACAAACCACCCCAGTAAGATCACAACAGATTTCAGAGGCAGATTTCAAACAGCATCCTTACACTGACACCTTCCTGACACTCTGCATGATCCTCACTGGGCACAACTGCAGATTCCTCAGTGGGTGTTGCTGGTTCTGTTCTCACACCAGCCCTGAGACACAGAGCTGCACATTTTTTGCTGGGGATCTTGGGGAGAACAAACACTGACTATTTGTATCTTGTAACAAATATTTTTCCAACTCATTTAATGGTACTGAATAGTAGACTGGTCTAGTTTCTTGATTATGCTTTGCATGAAGGATGTGACAGAATTATCCAATACCAGAAATAAAACAACTGGAAAAGAAGAAACTTTGTTTGTACACATGTTAAACACATTATTTACTACAGCCATTGGCTAAATTTCTATGCAGGGGAGCTACACAACTTCCAAAAATATCTCTAGAAAATTTTTTGTGAAACAATGAGAAAGGAACCCAAAGCTTTGGAAAAAAATTTTTTTGCTCACAGATCATGGCTGTGCTTCTGAAGGAGACAGAAACATGTTGGGATCTGCTCCATGAAAGCCCAGTATTTTACAAAGGGAGAATTATATTTTAAAAAATTAAGAAAAATGGGAAAAGGTATCTTACATATTCATTAAAAATGTCTGTATAGATGAGCTTGTTTTCTTCTGAGTCATCAAACTCCTGGTAGTGCTTCTCCAAAAAATTCCTCTGTATTAACTGGAAGTCATCATCTGGGCCGTAACAGAAATGCAGCACAGAGTTAGGAGTTTAGTCATTCTTTCTGTAACACAAACCCCACATTCACTGGTCCTCTGCTTCCCTGCTGTAACCACAGAGCCCTGCACACGTGCAGAGTTCATCACATCAGCACCAGAGCTGCTGCCAAACCACCACTTCTGACCCATCTGTGAGAGGACAGAGGCTGATGGTGAAATATTACCAAAACAGTCTTCCTGCTCTACATTTATTAATAGTTATTTATTCTCAACCTCTTTTTGCTCTGGCTCTAAAGTCAGCAAAACATCTGTATTTTTTATTAAGTGAATACCTCTTCCCTACAATCTTTAAGGCCCCTTCCAACCCAAACCATTCTGTGATTCTATGACCATCTTTGTGCTTCAGGGCTGCATACACAGAAATAAGGATCCCCATTCTTGCAGCTTTCAGTCCTGGAATAGAACCAAGTCCCAGCCTGCAGTTCAGGCATTTTATATCAGAGTGCAAAAGGCTCCCTGCAGCAGCAGCAGCAGGGCACTGCAGAAACTGCCCAGACAAACCATGGCAGCTTCTAAGAAGATCCTGGCAGACATGTCAGGAGAAGTCTGGGCAGAGCTGGGGAAGGGAAAGCTGCCTCTCACAGTATCTTCCACAAAAATCCCAGAAAGCTTTGATTTCTCTATGAGATGCACAAGCACCTTTAATGTTTCTCTAAGAAGCAGTGTACTGAAGTGATGTGGAGCACAATTTTCAAGAGTCACAAGCGCACAGAAGAATTTGATGTATATTTTTATATTTACACTACCAGGTAAAGGAAGGAAAGCCTCCATGAAGCAGGCAAAGGCTCTCTGTATGTTGGCTAATTAACAGAAGAGCAGCTGACATGTTTTGCAGCCCTGTTGTTATTTGTACCTACTTGCAAACCTTACCCATTATGATATCCTCCAGATAGCCAACAACTGCATCAAACTCATCAGAAGTGGTGGAGCTGAAAGCAAAGGAAAAAAAATATATTTTGACCACAGGAGAAATTAAAGTTAAAATTAAGAAGTGTTAACAAAAGCCTAAGTACAAATAAACAAATAAACCCAGTAATTAGAAGATAACTGAAAAACTTCCTAGTTTCAACCTAGAAAAGAATCCATGGCACTGATGAGAAGATTGCTCCATGGAGATTCTCATCAGGCCTCTACTCTATTTCCTCCCAGTAAGGTGCCTAATTGCAAGAAAGAAAAAATGTTGTTTTACTGGCATTACTGTCAAGGTAATTCTAGTTCTGGTGCAAAAGAATGTAAAGAGTGTAATTAGAACAGCAAATTAAACCTTTTCCAACCCACAAATCCCAGCTGCTACCAGTTTCCCTCCTCTTTCCTGCACATGGTGATCACAGAACTGTAGACACTCTAGAGAGTATTTTGAAATATTTGGTTTTGTGGAACAACTTAAACTGAATGTATATGCAAGTATTATATAACTGAAGAAACTTAAATCTTTTTCTTATGCAGGAAACATCCTTATATGATCTAAATAAATGGGATAATCTCCTAAAGTTATTCTATCATGAGCAAATATTAAACACCATTATGGATCTGAATTAATCCAGAGAAGAAATCTTTGGTGCCAGAATCAGGAGTCTGGCTCTATTACTGTGCAACTTGTAAGACAGTAAATAATCCACAAGATGTTTTTGGCATTCACAGCTCATCTTTAGTGGGAGATGAACTCTTCCTATTTCCTCTAAGGGATGAAAGACAAACTTTTCTGACATGTGAGGGAAAGAAGTCTCAAAGAAACAGGGATATTTGTCTTTAAGAAAAAAAATCGCTTCGATCAGTGAAAGCACCATTTAAATTCAATTGACTGTCTCTTTCTCAACAGTAAGAGTAGCATCGCTCTTCAGACTAAGTTTTGAAAATCTCATTAAAGTTACTTCGCCATTAGAGAACACTCCAGTGAAATTAATCCAACAGCAGTTTAGCCGACAGCTTAACCATAACCAGGCTCGCTCTGATCAGGAAAAATTAAGAGATCTTTGATTTAAAAAGGCGTCTGCTCAGCGAGCGATATCCTAGCAACAAGACTGCTGCTCCGGGGAGAGGAGCGGCCCCAGGGCCGGGGCCAGCCCGCGAGAGGGCGGCGCGGGGCGGCAGCGGGACCGGGGACACCCCGGCAGCTCACCCGGGCAGCGCTTCCCTTGGCATGCACTCACTTGGCTAGCCATGATTTCCACTCTTTCCCCCTCTCCAAATAAATGCTACTTCTAGTTGTACAGCTTATCCTAATAGCAACAAAGTGTTGATTTACACCCCGGTTGAAGTCTGTGCAAGTAACGGAACTGACCTGTTCCAAAAGAACCCGATCCCATCTCTTTATACAACGCACGGGCATCCACACACCTACAGAGACACGAGCTCACCAACCCTGTGGTTTAATTCCTGTCACCTACCCAGACTGGGCCAGCACACTGCTCTGCTGAGGCAGCCCTGGCACCGGCCTTTGCTCAGAGTCTGAGGCTGAAAGAGTCAAATCCGTGCATGACAGAGGCACAGTCACACGTCCCCTTCTGCCACAACTCTTGGGAGAAGAGTATGGCAGACACGCGTGGGGTGAAGCAGCAGCTTAGCATCTGCCAGTGTGAAATGTGGTTGAGGTCACCTGTGGATGGGCTCAGTTTTAGGAGAACACTCAAAGAGAGGAAGAGTCTCCTCTCAGGATCATTGACAAAAGACAACAAACACTCTTGAAAAGGAGAAATTCTGAATTTAAAATGAACACCAGAAAAAGCAATTTCCAAATTTCCGGCCTTTACAAGGCTTGCTGTGATCCCTCAGCAGCGCTACCCAGTGCTACACTGACCACAGCGATATTTAGTTTGACTTCACCTAAACTCTGTACTGATGTTATTCCCTCTTGCAGCTTTGCATTCTGCACCTTTGTTCTCCTAAGAGGCAGAATCTGCTAAAGAGTGTGGTTTAAATTCATTCGGGTAATTATATTCTTATCAAGATATTTTAATTAGCAATTAGCTAATTGAAAATCTGACACATGAGAATGCAGCATACTCACGTGGCTACACCCAAACTTTCTCCATCAGAAGTCTCCATTGCTCCTGCCTAGCCAGAGTGGAAGAGACAATCTGTATGTTTCAGCTGTTAGTGGTTATTTCTTCTTTTTGACCAAAGTGCTAAGGAATAACATGACTTAGTGTTAACACAAATTCAGTTGCTAAACTGCCATACATTTCCGGAAGAGCTAATCAGGAGATAAATTTTAATTCCTAAACACAGGAATTCCAACATCACATTCTTCCAAAATTATTACTACTGCTTTTCTGTAATAACCCAAATAACCTAAAAACTTTCTCTGCCTATTCAGAGAACAGGCTCAAAATACAACCAGACCTTATAAAGGGGGGCACCTCTACATCTTTTCTCCTGAAACATCCGTGACTGACCATTACAGAAATAAAGCCAGATAAGATAAAGGTGCCGCCCTGCTCCAGTGTGTCCCAGACCAGGCTGGCAGGCCAGGCTTGGGACAGCGATCCCAGGGGCTGTGTCCCGGCTGGACACTCGGCCCAAGGCTGTGAGTGGACACCGGGGATGGGGCACACGGCACCCCGGGGTCGGGGCACACGGCACCCCGGGGTTGGGGCACCCCGGGGTCAGGGCACACGGCACCCCGAGGCCGCCGGCGATAGGAACCCGCTGCTCCCGCCGCGCTTCACCCTCCGCCGGCCCCCGGCGCAGTCCCGGGGCATCACCGCGAGCCCGGCAGGAGCCGAGCGCGTCCCTCGCTTCCCCATCCTCAGGCCCGGCAAGGGGCGGGCAAAGCCCTCCAGCCCCGTCCCTCCCCTAGCACCCAGCCTGTCTCGCTCCCTCCCGCTCCTCAAAGGGACCCAGGGCAGCGGCCCATCACCCTACCCTCCCTGTCTGCACAAAGCGCCCCGGCGGCGGCATCCCGCCGCTCCGGGACTGCGGCCCCGCGTCCCGCTCCCGCGCCCCCCGCCCGCACCCACCGCCCTCAGGCCGGCGCGCAGCCCCCTCCCCTCGGGCCGTCTCCTGGGAAACGCGCTCTTCCGCCCCGCCCGCAGCCAATCAGAGCGCGGCTCCGGCCCGCCCGCCCAATCAGAGCGCGGTGGGGGCTGCGCGGGAAGGCGGCGCCGTCGCCATGGCGGGTTGGGGAGCGCGTCCTGCGCCGGGCCGGGCCCTGAGGGAGAGACAGGAGACAGCATTATCTGCTTGTTAATGGCAGTGGGAGAGCGGGCTTCCCGTCAGAGAGCAGAGCTCCGAGGGTGGGCACAGCCCCCAGCTGCTGCAGCCCAGCGACCAGCGCTATGACCTGGCCCACGCAGCACGAGTGTCCCACCCGAGCGCACACGCGCGCCTCAGCCGAAAAGGAATTAAAGAACAACAAACAGCCTTCAAGATGTTTTTATTGTTGAATGGACAACTTTGCTACAATTCATGTGGCCCTGTGAGGGCCTGTGGAGTGGCCACCTCCCATCCCTGGCCCCGAGCTGTGGGTGCAGGGAGCGAGGGTGACGGCGCGCTGCTCACGGAGTACCCAGCTTGACAGAAACCCCCCGGCCTGGACGGCGGCAGAAAGCCGGGCAAGGTAGACAGTCTTTCCCTTCGTGAAATGAACAGGACAGTTCTCTGCAACACAGCTCCCTCCTCCGCCACCGCTGGCTTCCTCTGCCCAGCACCAGCTGCATGGAAGACGGTCTGGGGCAAAATTTTCCAAAGCATTTACATCTTCTCCATAAAGAACGCAGGCACTTAGCCCCATGTCCACAAAGGCAGCGAGGCTCTAAGGCCACCTGCGGGCCAAGGGGACAGCAGGTGCCTGGAAGCCGTTGTGGGCTTGGGCCTGAAGACCTTAATCTCATACAGCAGTCGATACAAATTAGGAGTCCTAGGCACTTCTGAAAATTTTACCTCAGTTAATCCTGGCCAGGGAAACCAAAGCCCTGAAATTACTAGACTCTATTAAGGCAGAGTTCAAAATGGTTCTGTCCCACCTCTTCCCTAAAGTATGATTTGTAACTGTACCTTAGGGATAAAAACCCATCATTGCATTTGGAAGCGCTTAGAACTTCATTTCAAAGTGATTCTGAATTTTTAACACCCTTGTGGCAGTGATGGAGCTCATGTTTGCTCACTGAGCATGGAGCTGGAAGGGACTCGGCCCTGACTGAAAACATGGATACAGCAAAACATTGTAAAGTACAGTCGGCGAGGAAATGAGATCCCTGTGGCACAGATTTGCCAGTCTGACTCAAATCAAAACAGGCAACCAAGGTGGAAGAAAATCCACATTTTAGCAAAAACACTAACCAGCACTCTGCTGCTGGATTCAGTCTACATTTGGACAAAAGTCAACGTGAAAATGATGGACAGAACTTTCCTAATTCACACATCTCTGGATGAAGTTCAGCACCCTTGAGTTAGCAAAGGCAGAAGGTGAAAGGAGTTGCTAGAGAGCTGGGTTCTGGTACCTGTGTGCAGAGCTCTCACTGCTGAGGTCTGTAGGAAGCCAGAGTGCTCAGCAGGAAGAAGCAGCCTCAGCTCTGCTTTGTTAGTACTCCATAGTACAATAAAGATAATAAATGATTTTAAAAATAAGCTACATCACACCATGAGAATTCACTACAACAGCCTCTGCTGCTGAATCACTGCCAAGAAGTGGGATGGTTTTGGTGTAAGTTGTGTGTGAATTAGTAAAGTTCTACTATACAGACAGATATTTTAAAAAAATCAACCGGTGCAAGACTTGGAAGAGACCGAGTCATATCCTCAGTTGGTGCAAAATAAGCAGAACCCCACCTATTTTTGTGCTACTTCACTGACACCAGCTGTGAACCCTGATTCCTTGTAGAAACCTAGTAGAAGTCAAGAGCTGCCTACTGAAGTGCATCCTTAACATACAAACATCACAAATGTGTAATTAAAGTGGAGCAGAGATTCCCACTGTATGATCCCTACCAAAAAATAGGAAGTGTGGCCCCAAACCTGCTCAGAGCAGGACTGACAAGTGGCAAGCAAGGTGCATTTTTAAGGAGTTAAGAATAAGACTGAAATTGCTATCCAAATAACCTTGTTTTAAATAAATGGGTCCAGAAGTCTCCTCTAATATTTTAAGATATATTCACTTTGGAAAAATTGAGCTAACTTTCAAAAACAACACTGATTAAAAAAGATGTTCGATGATACCTTAAAAAATACCCAGAATATCAAATTAATTCCAGTCCAGCATTATAATTAGTTAAGAATACCTCCTGAAAATTATAACCTCACAAAAAAATGTGGGTACCGAAGTTAAAAGTATCAGAAACATTATGTACTTGAAAATACCACTGATCTTTTAACATTTAAAAACAAATCAGAACATTCTTTGGAATCACCAAGTTATTAAAACCTGTGAGTTTCTCTACAGTCTCCACACTGTCTTTTCAAATCAGTCTGTGTACAGATTGAGTCTTTGAGCAGTTTAATATCAGAAAACACAGAGTCTCTGACCAGCAGGAGGCTACATGAAACAGGAAAACATTGGCATTCTCTTTTTAGCACTGACTTCTGCCAAAAATAGACTTTCGAGCACAAGACAGCACGGCCCTGTTTTAGGAAATACTTTTCTCTTCTTTTCTAAAATGCATTGTATGTGTACTTCCAGTGCAAATCTTTTCAGCACTTGCGACAGGCGAGAAGGAAAAGGGGAAGAAGAGACAACTCCCTCTGCTCTTGCTCGGCGGAACCAATAGCCAGAACTCCTGACTGCTGAAACCAGCTCCCTTTGCTGGCAGCTGGGAAGAGCTTATTAAAGATTTCAGTTTTAGGATAAACAGATTACAGGTTAGCATGAAATCTGGCCGTGGCTATGGTTCTATGTGCATACAGATTGGTTAGAGATGCTTTCCCCTTTCAGTATTGGTTGGAGTTCTTTAAAAACAAGTCTGTGGTATTTCTCCACGTGTGTCATGAAATGTGAGAGATCTGTCTGACTCGGGTCTGTATTTCCTGTCGACACAAAGGGCAGGTCTCCAATTGCAAGGCACACTCCATGCACAGGTCACTGAAGGAGAAGAAAAAGCAGTTAAAGCCTGCTTTTACAGTATGAAAAACTCATCAACAACAACAAAATAGCACAAGCACTAAGCAGTTTAGTCAGCCTGGCAGAGGCACAGTCAAGTCCCCCAGTGTGGAGATGAGGCACGGCAAGTGAGGTGCTGTGGATCCGTTCACAGGCTTTGAGAGGAGCTCCTGCTGCTCAGCATCTCCCAGACCTGCAGCTGCTCAGGATCCCACTTCCCTGTGCTCAATAATCCTCACACTCACTCTGCTCTGGAGAGCAGCCCCAGTGCCCTGCAGCAAATTCTCCAATCCAGGCACATCTCTTTTTAACTTTCCAGTGTCTAGACACATGGCAAGACTCCTTCCATGAGTGCTCTAAAACTCTAAGGAATTGGACTTAACTGGATTCATTTCCTAGTAGGCTGCTTTAAGCAGGAAAAGTGCTATTATGGTATAACTCATACTGCAGTGTCATTTTTAGCTTTTAGAGGAATTTGTGACTCGAGACAATCCATTTGTTGAACATTTAATGAGTATGTGACTATTATGAATTTTCTGCTCTCCTCACATGATCTGGATTTCATAGCCCCAGTATCAAGTACTAATCAGCAAAGCCTTTGACATCAGGGAAATAAGACTCAGTAGCCCAGAGCAGCACACAGATGTAGCCTCTGTATTTCCCCAAATACACACACAATTAGGGGTTCGATCTGCTCAGGTCTAGGATGAGTGGAATAGTGGGAACACTGTATTTAACCTCTACACATCACATCCTTAAAAGGAAGGAAGGTTATTTCCTTTATCCTGGGGAGTCAATCAAGATGAGCAGGGACTGCATATGGCCTCATCTAAGCTGAGCATCACACACACATTTTCCTATTTCTTTGGATTTGGGTTTTTCTAAGGTTTTACCTGTGTCCACACGGCCTGAGTTCTGTGTCTGCTACCTCATCACAGCAAAGTGTGCAGCAGTTCTCTCTGATACTCACTTGCTTCAGCAAAGCCAGGCGCCTGTGTCTGAAGGGAGAGAGAGACAGACCCCCCCACACATTAATTTGACTCAAAGCAATAGATTCAAAACTATTCTGAGAATTGCATCAAGGCCAACAGAACACTTGTAGCAGTGCTGCATCACACTGCTGATAAACATCAATCACAATTGCCCACAAAAAAAAGGCTGAACACACCCAGAGACCTGCAAAACAGTCTGATTCCCTATTCTGGTCTGTCAGAAAGGCACAAAGAGGGGACTAAATAACAATTCTCCTAGTTCCCACAGATGGAACACTTACAGAAATTCTTTCTGGCTACTTTCATGAGTTAAGAAAAAAAACCAAACAAATAAACCTCACAAACTCTCATGTATCAACAACATACAGAAACCCTATAATGCTCTAACACAGTTTAAAAGAATAAAAACTGCAAATTGAATCAACATCCCAGTATGGCAACAGCCACAGGGGAGAGAAAATAGGTAAAAATCCCTCATCTGATGAAATGAGAATTCCCAGTGGAACACACACACAGCACCCACCACAACTATTCAGTGGCAGGGTGATGTGTCTTGCCTCAACACCAGATGCACTAAATTCAGCACAACTCTGCAGGAGTTCATGTTAAATCCTATGATGGATAATTAGGGTCCACTCAAACAGGTCTTTGCCTTATCTACTATCACTTTTAAGATGATCAAAGCTATATTTTAATTTAGAATTGGCTTATCATTTCCAAGCAGTTCAGGCTGTAGGGCAGGGATGATCTTTGTTTACACAAAGAACAACAGTCCAACCTTGAATGGAGCCTTTCAGTGCTATTGCATAATGCAGAGTCTGTAACACAGGAGGCCAAATTTCACCAGTCAGGCATCAACAGGAAACCAGTTTCCCCCAGTTTGTCTCTCATCTTTTGGCACAGTGATTAACAGCTCTCACAGCTATTGCCTGAACATTGCAAGAGCAGTGCCAGAACAGCATCAATCCCACCTGAGCATCAGCAGAAACTACAAACCTCTCATCCAGTGTGGGACACTACCAAGACAGAAGAACACACATTTGTACCTAACAGATCATCTTAAAGACTACATCAGACTCTCACTTAAAGCACCTGCAGTCACAAGCAGAAATAATTTACTCTGGCTATGGGTAAGCACAAAATAATTTTGCAAGTTGCATTTGATTTTATCTGCATAAACACAATATTCCAATCCTCAAACTTTGCAAATTTGTGACTCCAACCCAGAAGTAAGGGGGGTTTTTTCTCTTCTTTTTAAACACTAAGATACTTAAGTACCTCAAATAGACTTGATCAAAACTAGATAATTCAAAACCAGTCTCTGAATTTTATTACAGCCAGGGGTACCCCCTCCAACAACCCTACCCCCACTTAATTAGTTGCAATTTAAGATAATTTCAGTCACATACTGAAATCCAGGATACACCACATAGATTACACTGTACAGTGTTACTGCTTATGTTCCAGTAAGTTTTTTTATTACTAATAACTTGATTCAGATGAGCTATTAGTTTTCATTCCTGCCAGAAGTTTGGTAAAAGCTAAAGAAGAATGTATCTAGACCTGTATCTATCTGGGTTGAATTATATTTAGGTGGGAAAACACTTCTAAATTTGAATAACCTTTGTCAGTACTGTCATCAAAAATGGGGAAATTTTCATCAGGCTCAGAAAAGGACAATTTCAAGACTTACAGTCATTCAGCACCTCCACGCTGCCAACACCACTAATTAGGTCAATTTTAAATAGGACATCTTTTTTTAATTAACACTATACCTCCTCAATCAGTCTAATAATCCTTAGATGGCAGAAGGTACTTCTACTAAAACAGCTGTGCCGTACCAGTTCATTTTAATTAGCTTGATATTACAAAATATATTTTAATTTAATGGATTTTGGTAGCATATCTCCTGCCCTACTGATGAATTTGCACTGGAGCCTATTGTCTCATCCTTTTAGAAGAGGAACCTATAGAAGTATGACCCCATAAGAAATAAATTTTGATGAGTACAAGGTAAGACTTTGCAACTCAGACATGAAACATTTCATTTCTCTGCATGCAAACACACAGGGTAGGAGGATTACCTGGGTAAAATTATTTTCTCTTCTGCTGTCAGAAAGGCATGATCATTGAAGGTACTAAACTTCATTGGTGGTGGATATTTGAAGGGTTTTGCCCCAAAGTTGAACTCACATTGTTGATAGGACATGAAACTTGCTGCAGCAAAAAATCCTGATCTGCAACATGATGAAGAGGCATTTTAGAATGACTTAAATAATAGCTGAGCTTTCAGAAATGTTACTATTACCATTTGAAAATATACCCTGAGAGAGAGACAAGTTTAATACCAGTGTGTTGCAGCTAACTGGGAGAGCATCAAGTAGCAGCTGCACATACTTGCCTTGTTTAGTTCTCAACTCCTGAATTTACTATTGGGATTTATCTGAATTTCTTAGTGAGTCAGCCAATAAAGGCTGCCTACTGTATAACCAGGATCAGTCACACTTTTAAAACCACAACTGCCACCTCTCAAATTTGCTGGAAGGGCACAAGTTCAGTAATACCCCAAGTTCTAACAAGTACTCGAGTTTATCAATTCCATACTCAAAGCACAGAGAATAAGAATAAATAAGATGCTCAGCAGCTCTTTAAAGTGAACTACTCTTTGCCTGCATCTTGAACTTTATTCTGAGGAGAAAACATGGATGAAGTTATTAGCCTGGTAGGAATAACTGACAAAGTACTGTAATGTTTAATGAAGCTGCATAGGAAGCTGCTTTCTCAAGTATTACACCAGCTTATATTTTCTGAAGTAAAAGGCTGAACTTCCCTATGAGAGTTAGAGGGGTTCACCATATGTTAATTTTAACAACAGCTGGCAAAATAAGCCCAACACCTGCCTGCAATGCTACCAAGAGACATCCTCTGATGAACATTCAGTGTTCTGCTCCAGGAGCTGGCCCCAGTGAATGGCAGTCAGTTAAAATCCCTCTCCAACATTTACAAGATAGGCTTTATTTTTCAGAAGTTCCTCAGGCACCAGAAAATTGTTCATCTTTGCTGCAGCCTCATTCTATTTTAATGCTATGCTAATTTGACAGTATAAACCACTGAGCTGAACATACCTTTGGAAAGTCCAAAGTATTTATTTTGGACCCTGAAATCCACCTGTAAAATTATATCCCTCTTCCTGATTTCTAAGCAACTTTCAACAGGGAAACTTGCTTAATGATGGCTTCAGGTAAGTAAATATGAATTTACATCTCAAATTGAAAACTCTTCATATAATTAACACAATTATCCACAGAGGTCATGTCCTTCCAAATGAGCAGACACTTACACAGCAGATGAAAATACTTGCTTCTCAGCAGGAAGCTGGTTTCCATTTAAATAGAAGATCATTTGCTTTTCTTGCAAGTCTAGTAGAAATCCTATTGTGTCTCCTTACATGCAAAACAAAAATAATTTAAAGATTTAATTTCTGTTAAATGCCAACAGCTGAAACAATAATTGTTTCAAGTATCACATATGTCACTGTGAGTTGTCTTACTTAAAAGGAACTGTTTGCAAAAGCACAAAAGAAGAAACATTGATACAGACAGTAACTAAAAAAAAACAAAAAACCCAACCCAAACCAAAACCAAAAAACCCCGGAGAAAATAGTAAAAAATAAAAAAAGTATTTTAGTCTGCCAGAGCATTAATACTACATAGTTGTAGCAGTATTGCAGAGTATTTGCCAAAGCCAGAAGAAAGCTGCACTCTGTCACTCCTTGGCTATTTTACACCTGTTGAAAATAGACTTTAGCAAGTGGGTGTTCTGAGAAGAAATTTCCAATATGCTTGTGCTATTTATTTTTAAGAGGTGTTTTAATTTAGCCATCCTTGGGGGGAAATTTTAATAGAAGAGAAGGCGGCACAGTTCACACAAGCATGGCATGCACAGAATCCTACCAAGATTTCAAAGCTGAGATCAAGAACAGAACTTTGCTGTCCAAGTAGTTATCCAAGAATTTAAAGTAAGCAAGACAGTGCAACTCCTCCTTAAAAAAGAAAAAAAAAAAGTCTAATTCAGAGATCAAGGTTTTTTCCCCTTCTCTAAAACAACTCTTTTAACCCAGAAAGGAAGATTTCAACCCTGTTGTGTATAACTACAAACAAGTGGAAAAAAGTCTAATGATTAAATGTCCAATGTTAATTGGTGCTATGATTTTCACTCCGCATTTGAAAAGAAAAAGTGTTTAACCAACAAGAGCCTCTTTACACAGACTGGGGAACAAGACTGTAGTGCCACTGTGCTCATTTAAATCACTCTTAAAGACACAGTAATTATTAAACCTTTATGATCATCGGAATTAGGCAGTAACTGCTTTGTTCACACCTATGAACAGACTCCTGCAAGGGGAAAAAATCCTTGGCAGAAATCCAGTTAGGATAAAGAGCAGAAGACAGGCTGAATACCTTCTTTCCAGCAGGGATGGGAATGTGGTTTACTTCTGGCGTTGTACCAGATCAGCTGCCGGCAGCCATCGTACGCACAGGAGTATTCATCGTCCCCGATGCCGTAACCTTCCTTCAGAGACAGAGCACAACACGTCAGCCCTCAGCCACTGCTCACACTCAGGGGATAAAGCCTGCCTTCAGTCACCTAAACCCTGGAAACTGAGAATTTTGGAATTTCTATGCTGACAGGAGCTGACCCCCAAGAGAACGCTGCGTTTGACTTGAGGCCGTGGAGAAGGCTTCCAAAATTGAATGATAGAAGTGGGATTATTGGTGTGTAGTTTGAATAGAAGTGTGTAATATCACGTGGTGGAAAACTTGGAGTTTAAGGTTTTAAAATATATTAATATATATAAAGCAAGATGGAAGTTTTAGGGCTCAGGCTGGTCCTTCCTCTTCACCTTCTCCATGGCTTTGGGTGGTGTTGTGTCATTAGATGAAAAAGTCCTCATTGTGGGGCATGGGTGGTTGGTTACTGGGTTAAAAGTAAAAATAAATAAGGTGTAATTTCTTAGTTAGACAGTTTATCCTTAAAAGGCCTTGTAGGGAAAGAGATAGGGCTCCATTTTGTAGTTTGTTAGTGAAGTGCTGTAGAACTCATGCTCTAAGACTGCAACATAGACAAGAACTAATGAATGTCTGAGTCCAAACAAGAAATACTGTCTTGTGCATTTAATCCCAACTTCTGCAGAAAAAAGAAGTGAAGAATGGGCACTAAACAACTCTTGCAGGAGCAGGAATGGTTTCTTTCTCTCTCCCCCATGAAGGTAATATTTTTTTTCAAACTAGTTTTAGTTTCATTTTCACATCAAAAGTGAATTTGTTGGGGTGAGGAGGAAGGGAGAAGGGGATATTGTTTGCAAAGTGTCTTCCATTCTCTGTGAACTCAAATCACTCCTGTCTGTTGAAGCATTTAAATACCAGAAGGCTAGTACCCAAATAGGTTAAATTTTTTGCATCTTTAGAAGTCACCACAGAGCAACAGCCACTCTCTTATCTTGAAGTCCCAGTAGCAAGCTTGTAATGCCCTCCCCACAAGACATCCATGTGCCACCAGAACCCACAGGACACAAAGAGAACAAACACACAACCCCTTCACCTAATTTGTTGCATACTATGTCCCTTTCACTGCCAGGCTCCCTCAAATTATGAAAACATCATCAAGTGATAGTCCTAAGGTCCAAGGCAAACAGAACTAAAGAGTCTCAGAGTGGGAAAAATCTGTCACATAGAGCCCAAGCATGAAACCCAAAGCATTATGGAAGGTAAGTAACTTCCTCATGCTCAGCATGGCTTGTCTGGAGTGTAAATACCAGACAGCATCTGATTACACAAGCTTCCCATGTCCCAAATTAAAGCTAAGCCCAGCTAATGGGTGTTTAATGTCATATTTAGGACTAGTCTTTTTGTTACAGATGCTGTAAATAAAGAGCATATGGCTTCTGAGGCCTGTGTTTGTGACATACCCAGAAGATAATATCCTTGTATTTCAGGCACACACCTGATGAACTTAAATAATAGCAGCATTTGGCCACCAGCAAAACAGCTGCAGCAACAGAAAAATCATCCTACTCAGAGATGTGACATCTCTTCTTTTCATACCTTGTACAAGACACACAGAAAAATGCACATACACCAAGCTCCTTAACAGTAAGTGGGAAAAAAAAAATCTTTTAAGCCTCTTAGCAGCCTAAAGGCAGACACATGGCCTTTTATTTCAAACAGTTTCTGTTACACTCAGTGTCTGCAAGGACTGCTGCATGGTATTTTTGTTCAGTTGGTGGTTTTTGATTTTGTGTATTTTTTTTTTTTTACTTAAATCACACTTCAATTCCATGCTAAAAATGTGAGACTGGACTTTGGATGTGACACAGAGATATGTGCATGTTATACATCAGCAAAAGACAATGCTATTTCCATGAATAATTAGAAGAAATGGAGCAAACCCTCTGAATTTAGAGGAATACCTAAGTTAAATTGTGAGAGAAGCTACTCTTGCATTCCCATTGGGTTTCTTGCCACTGGTGTTTGTTTAATCGCCTTACTGTATTTATCTCATACCCCACAATCAATATTTACTCACACATATGTATTTGGCCTATCTTCACATTAACTGCTGTAGAATGACTTTTTTTAACAATCAGAAATGAGCAGGTTTAACTGCTTATCTCTACATTAAACATATAATTCTTCTCCTAAAATAACTTCCAAGTAGGAGCAGAAAGCCACGCAATTACAACCCTAAAGAAGGGCTACAGGTGAATTTCTCACTCAAGCTTAGCCAGTAGAAGTGTCAACTTGAAACCCCAGCACTGTTTCCATTATCAGCACTAGGCTAGGCCTGACATATATTTTTTTTGTCCTGAAATTCTAGCTTGCACTTCAATGAACTTTAATGGTCATTTGGAAGGCTGATAACATGGAAAATTAACTCTAAGCTGAGGTAGAAAAATTTTTTGGGCAGTCATCATTACTCTCTTATTATGGAAATACTGAAACAAGTTATACTATAGAATAAAAAGCATACAAAGTTTCTAACAGCCATGCAGAATTACCACCAAGATTTAAAAAGAAAGAAGGCCTAGTGACATCTCCAGGATGACTGACTATGTTTGCACTTCATGTGCACGTGGCACCTTTTGCTTCAATGCTAGCAGTACATAACCTTACAAGTAAATAGTAGGAAGAAGAATACTTAGAACTAAGAATAAGATACAAAATTATCTGGATGAGAAGGACAGTAAAGCAAGCTATAAAATAAGACAGCAGACTTGTTCTGTACTCTCAGGAAAAGGCAAAAAGGTAGAAGGTTTAATCTTTTTTTATCCTTATTTTTAATTAAAAAGAAGCTTTTACATTCCAAGACTGTCCCATATTGCTGCTACCAGCAAGTCCAATGATACCATGTTATCCCAGAGTGAATTTGAGTTATTTCCCTTGTGAAAGTTAATTTAATAGGAAAATGTGTCAAAGAGGATGAGGAAATGGCTGCTTGGTGACCTGTGTAAAGGACAGTGTAAGAGAAACTGCTGTTCCTGGTGACTTATTTGTTTGCTTATAAAACCAGATAGTAACTACTGTTATCCAAAGAATTTCCAAGAGATTATGCTACAAGAAATAAGAAATAAATTCCCTATAGTTTCCATACAACAGCCAGCAGATAACAAGCTGTCTCTGCTGCAGCTCTGCATGACTTAGGAGAACAGTGTCAGTCTGTAGCAATAACTGACTTCTCCTGTACCACCAAATTCAGCAAAACCAGCTCTTCATGGACACAGTAAAATTGAAAGAAACAAACAAGTGCTCAGTTACAACCACAGAATAGCCAGAGCTATTTTCACAGATGCTGTAAGAAGGAAAATACTGATGTTACATCACCAGCTCAATGATATTACAGGTACTCACATGGTTGAGAAATTTGCTGTCTTTGGTTGCCCATCCTATCTGCATCACTCCTGAAGTAATGACAGTAACTTCATAGTACCAGACTCCAGAGTCGACACAGAACGTGCACCTCACGCTTTCGAAGGACGAGGCATCACATCGTGCCTACCAAAACCAAACAGAAACCCAGAGTCTCCAACATCACCACTCACACCCAGAGTCTCCAACATCACCACTCACACCCAGAGTCTCCAACATCACCACTCACACAAACACCTTCCTGCCCTGGCTCAAGTTTCTTGAGTGTAAGAATATACCAACATAATTTCAGAGGCGTTTCAGACAGAGTGACCTCTCTTTATAGCAGTAGTTGTCACACAAACTAGTGAGTAGGCAAGACTGAAAATTGTTAAGTGGTTAAGCCACAGGCAAAAATAAAAAAAAGGAGAAAGCTGACAGAAACAATTTAAAGATTTAAAGACTACGACAACCAAGACAGGAAAACCTAAATCACTTGATTGTTAACTGATTCCTGGTAGGAAGGACAAGGAGGCCTTCAATGTTAATTCATGAAAATTCATTTCTAAGTAGTCAAACAAGTTCTTAGGAGTTAGAGAGGAAGAAAAAAAACCCACATGGCTGAGACAAAAATCTGAATGCTGTGAGCTTTTCAAGATGAGACAGGACAAACAATAGAATGATATTTTGACTAGAACTGCTCACAAAATAAGTGAAAAGCCATTTGACTCTTAGGAATCCTCCTCACTTCCCTGAAGTTTTGGGGTACAGGCCTTACTTCAGTATGAACATTTCTACAACTGAGATCAGTGTAGTGATGCTACAACCCTTTGATGACAAAGAAAGTTTTCTGTACAAAGCTGGCAGACAACATGGATTCATTCTACAAAATCACAGGAGCAAGGGCAAATCAAAACCTGCCTTTTTCTTCAGCCTCTTTTTCAGGATGAATACATGAAACAATTTCCTACCTCTAATCCATGTGGTGAGATCTTCAGGTATTCACTGACATCATTGCTGTTCAGCATAGCCCTAATGTTGGTCAAGTCAACCTTCTCATATGTAAACTGCCTGCCTTCTTTTAAAACTGAAAATAAAAAAATCCCAACCAGTGTTAGTTACCGCTGCTGCAAAATTTTATTTTAAACATTTCATTCAATGATAATCTCTCTAGGATCCAGGTAGTTTTTGGCTTAACTGAATGAAACACAGATTTTGCCTGCATGCAAACAGCTTTCAATAGAGTGTGTGTTAAATACCCTCCAAACATGAAAGCATGACCTGTGCCTCTGACTAGAGCTCCCACAATCTAATTAGTACTTGCAGGAAACCCACAGGCAAATGGATGGCATCCAAGTTCACACCAAGATGCCACTGTTTCAGGCTTTACCATTGTATTTGTACATTCAGTGGGCAGTTTTTCTGATTCATTACAGTGGAAACAGATTTGGGGATAGGAAGAAGGGGAAAACAAGGATTTAATGGTTTCTATCATCTCATTTTTAGGTGACTGAACTCAGCCAAAGCAGCTCGCTCTCTTTCTTGCCCTTTCTACACAGAAGGGTCAGAAGCATTTCTCTTGCCAGGTGTCAAATTGTTGACACATACATGTTAATTTACAAGTGAAAGATCTTATCTGAGGACCCTTCATATAACTCAAACTTGCTACAACACTTACACAGACATTAACTAAACACAGCTGACACTGGCTTTCCATAAGCTGACTAAAGCCCCTAAAGCCTAACAGACCTTTTACCCAAATTTATCTAAAAGGCATTAGAAAATACAAGGTCATTAGAGTTGCTGCATCCTTGAAATCACAACTAACCAAGCAAATTCAGTGATTTTTAGTAATCCAAAAGATCGACCTAGAGCAGTGCTTTGTCAAACACTTTTTACTTTTGATCACAAAAATCAAAAAGCGTATCTAATTTAAAAAGTCTTCAGTGATTCTTTGTGCCAGTGGGGAATGACCACAGGAGTGGCCATCACCAGGACATGTCAGCAACCCAGATGCCCCACAGAGACAGAGCTGCACTGTTGAGCCCCTCAGCAAATTGGCTGAAGTGTGGATTACAGGAAATTGGTGCAAAGAAAAATTTTCATTGCAGCTCCAACTTGCAGAGTACAAGCCACTTCCTTTCAAAAACATTGTCCTTGCCAAAATTTTCTTTCCACACCATTACACTGGATATATTTGTTGATGTGGTTTTTTTGGTTTTGTTTTCTTTTTCAAGGAGATAGTGTACCTGGCTGCGTTTGTGATAAGTGCTCATAAAAAATGAGCACAAAGGAGTCCTCCATCTCTTTGGAGGAGTGATTACTATTTAATTAATCCATCCCTTTTTTATACCTACACAGATTGTCTAAACTCCACTGGGCACAGAATCCAACCTGGCGTTTTAAGTAGTCGGGGTTATCTGTCCATTTCTCCAGCAAGATCAGTTGGTCACTAATGCACGATTCAGAAACTGTCATTTTATTTTCACCTGCAATTTAAGAGGAAAAAGAGTAAGTGCTATCAGCTAGGGATAAGTTAAAAATAACAATATCCTACAAATTCACTAGAACTCTCCACACACATCTAAACCTCAATATTACAAGCCTGAAAATGTTTCCCCAAGCAGATGTGGAATTATCTTCATTCACATTTACCACTTCCCAGCATGGAGCTGCATCACGAAGAGCCTGATCACAGCTGTTCTCCATCTCCCCAGTACTGATTGATTTCTTTTCAAGTAACAAAGGTCTCATGTCATAAGTCATTATGTAGTAATTTCTCAGATGAGAAGGCCAGTTTCAGCAAATCTCTTAATGGTTTATGGGTGAGGGTATCATTAAAGCAAAAAATATTTTTTCCTGCCTACAAGCTCCCAATGCTCTTGTCCAGCTCTAATACAGATTTATGTCAGTGACAAAGGCCTCGCATCACAAATCCTTCTACAGCAATTTCTAACAGGGAAAATAAGTTTCAGCAAGTATCTCAGGGGTTTTGAAGGGAGGAGGGATGCCACTAGAGCACTAAATACCAATGCAGACTCTCATGCTCACAAGTGGTCAGGCAAAGCAAGTGACAATAATGCAGCAGCCATGGTGTTAAGAGCAGTACCAGGCCAATACTCACTTGTTTGTGCAAACTTCTCCAGTGCTATTAGTGCAAAAAGCATCACTGTCGGGTGGGACTGGAAGTTCTAAACATGGGCAGTAAGAAAAAGTTTATTAATAAATACCCAGCAGAGGCAGACAAGAAGAGTTACAAATCTTTCACAGAAGGTTGTAGGTTCAAAGGAGCCTCCAAAGCTCCTGTATTCCACCCTCCTGTGGAGATAGATCCAGAGAGATCAGGCTACCCAGAGCCTTGTTCCACTGACTTCTCATTGTCTCCAAGGATGGAGATCCCACAGGCTCTGGAATTTCAGCTTTTTGTAACATACACTGCCAATATTTAGCAGACAGGACTTCAACTTTTCACAATAATAATAACAAAATTGCATTCTAATTGCTAAGTATGGATACATACAAAAAGATCAAAGACACTTACCAAGCTGTGAAGTAAATATTCCAATATGCCTGGGCTGAGCAAGCCTATGCTCGCAGGACCTGCAAGAACATCAGGAATGAAATCCCTCCATGGCAAGTACCACATACCCATCACCACAGATCTTTTAAACACAAGGTAGCAAATTAAAGAACACCAAACAACTTCACAGCAAAGCAAAACTATAATATAAAACAATTATCATTGTTTCTAGTCAAATACTTGGTGCACATTTAATAATTACACAGTTACTGGCACATTACAGTCCTGTTCAGTTCACTGCTCTAAGTGGGTACAGATTTCTAGCCAGAGATTTTGCAGTAAGGCTCCAGCAGCCTCCACTCAGCATTTTCTTGCTCTTTACTTTTGAAAAAAGACTGTCTCCCCTTTACTTCCAGAGTCAATGTGTAAAGACCAGCTCCATCTACCAGTAGCCCAAAATAAGCAAAACTGAGCACCTGATACGGCCAATAGACAGTTAATTATACAGCTGGCAGCACCAGAGCAAGCAGCCAATTTAAAATGGAAAAGCCCTGAAATAGTGTCCACTTAATCAAGAGAGAGACACGAGGGAATCAACCTCTGGCATCTACAAGCTCTTAAGAACTTGCAGTGGGTTCCAACACTTCATTAACAGATTTGTTGCCTGAGCTGACAGGAGATCTGTGTCCACTAAGATAAAAGTGGATACAGTATATCTCATTTTGACTTAGTAAAATACAGTAAAAGTATTACAGTACAAAAACACTTCCAGACCTTGTTCTTTACATTGTTATTTTTTCCACAGAAATACAGCAATTGGGTTTTAATAACCATTAGGTAACACTGGACAATCACTTTTATTCCCGTATTTCCTGTCCACTTTCAAAAAAACTAGATACAAAAGATACAAAAGAGATCACCAGCAGGAAGGAAACTTAATCATCAATTTTCAACTGTGTACTAGGTAGGAATGACAGGGAATAAAAATTCTATATGAAGTCACCTTAAAATACAATCTCAGCAATTTTCTTTTAAGCAACACAGAAGAGAATCTTTTCAGGTATCTACAATAGAGTAAGACATGCCTACTGGAAAAAACATATTTCTTTTTTATTTCTATACAGCCTCCAAGACCACTAACTTGATACTCCTGTAGAGAATGTGTCCTCAGTAAATCACAACCAGAGCGGGTCTGCAGGAGAGATTGATTTCCAGTGCTAAGGCAGTGTAACAACCAGTGATCCCCAATCACTGACCACACATCAGGAGGATTTGTGAACGGCTCATTCAGACACTTGAATCAACCAGATTCTGCCACACCTGGTTCCCCCGTGATGCAGAACATTATTCAGTTCTGAGCAAACACCTCTGACCCACACGTGGTGGGTGCTAAAGCAGAAGGTGCTGCAGAGAGCCAAGTGCCAGCTGTGAGGAGCAGCCCAGGGCTTTACCTGCTAATTTCTCTGCCAAGCAGCCCAGCACTGCAGTCGTGTTCCGGTGCTTGGCAGGGTGACAAGCGTCCTGGCAAGCTGCAGCTCCACTCAAGTTTAATATTTCAGTTAACTTCTGTAATGCATCCTGCAAAGGAAAAAAATCAGAAATCTCTTCAACATTACTGACAGGCTAATCAGTATTGTAAAACCAGATTGTTTTTACACCTTACTGAAGTCAGCATCATATTACAGACAGCATGGGGTGGTTATCTTCTCAGATAAGATAATGAAGGACAGATGAGAAAAAAGTTCAACAGACCCAAGAGCTGTAACTTTAAAATTACCACCAGATTGTTGGTTGTTGTGATCAACAGCTCAGGACACTTCTGGACATACCTAAGTGAGCTCCCCAAGGCAACAGGAACCAATTAGCACATATGGCACCACTGCCATCTGATCTATTTCCAGTGTCCTAAAACTCACACCCTCTTCAAAAGAAAAGGATTGTTTCAGATTTTAGAATTCAGGACTAAAGAGACACGCTCCTTCCCCAAAAAGCCCACATTCCCATCATAAATTTAGGATGTTGTCAGCTTCACAGGATGTCAAACTGTATTCTTGAGAGCCTAAGGGGTCTTCTGTAGTCACACAAATTTAGGAAGTAACCAAGGAGGGTAATAAAGCTAAAATGCCATGCTTTCACTTGCTTTGTTCAGGCAGTATGGTATGAATAAAATTCCAGATAGGTCTAGAGCATTCTCTGCATTTTCAGGGTAGTTAGGGGTTAATCCAGAGCCAGAACAAGTCATCCCACAGGGAGAACCCCACCCTGAAAAGTTCCAAACCTCCTCAACTTTCCAGACTTCATGAAAGTTTCAGCTGATTCAGATTGAAACTGCATAATCTCAGGCAAGGATCTAATTAAAATAGAAGAACTCCTCATATTGAAGTCATCAGCAGCCATTTGGAGGAAAAATGAGCCCTGCTCAAGTTGAATAGATGTGTTTTTTTGAACTGTGTTCTGAGCCACACTCGAATCAGTTGACTGTGCTAGAGTCTGAGGTCTGTACAGAGATCACACTGAAAAGTAGTTACAGTCTTAAAAGGAAAGCCACAAAAACAGAACTGATGAACAGGACTGAGCTAAGTGGAAAGAACAGAGAAAGAAGAAAGAATGACTGAGCAACAGACTTGGGATGGAAAGGACTCACTAAAATTAGACTCTTGACATACTGATACTGCTTTTAGCCATTATTAGAACTGTCAGAAAGTATTTTGAGTTAAATAAAGACTTTATAGAATAAACAGTTTACTGCACTCCCTTTTAACTTTATGGACTTCATAGCCTGCAAAACCAGAAAATAAAATACAGCATACTGCTGTTCTCCAGCTGTCATGAAGTGAGGCATTGATTTAAAATCCCTAAGACAAAAAACAAACTGTATAGAAAGAAAATTAAAAGCAGCACACACTTTATGAGGCTGCATGTGGCCAGCAGACCCCACAGCTGCAGCTCCTTGTGCTGTAAAGAAAAAGGAAAAACCACTGTGCACCCCAGAAAAACAAGCACCTCATTCCTTGTCTTGATATGGTCAACTATTTTATAGCAAACTCCTTAATTGTACCCAAATCAAAGTCACGTGGCTTTTGAAAAACAAGTCATTTGATTGCTGAGGACATTGTAGAGCCAAACAAAAAATCCAAAGTCACTCTCCCTATGGTGCATTCACAGTGGTCTCCATTTCCTGATTTCTTTTTTAAAGCAAAGTGTCTAGTCATAGCTTTGTTTTCAAAACAACTCAGTCTCTGTCAGAGTCATAATACATTTCTCTTGTTTAAAAGTCTCAGATAACTTTAATAAATAGCCTAGAGGAAACAAACCCACTTCAGGTAGTTTGAGAGCTTGACCAATTCTCCAGCCACTGATGCCACCAGCTCTTCACATCCCTAACAACACCAATGGAAGACTAAATTGGCAGCATCAGGAGCTTGAAAAATGAAAGTAGCAATGATGTGATCATCAGTTTCTGAAGAAATGAGATAATGACAAACATTTGAAGACAGACAAGTTCTCTGTACAAACATTATGTTTAGCATCCTTAAGCACCTGAGCCTTTCAGTTACAACCTGCACCAACACAGCATGAACACCTCAGGTCATCTTTCTGCCCAAAACCAGATTAGTGGCCAGTAAAACAAAAGTATTCTCATTTACTAAGACCATATATAGGTATTTCATAGTTGAAAAATGTCATTTGTTTAGCTTAACACACCCATTTGCATTGCATTCCTCATGTGCAGGGCAGGAACAAATTCAAAAGTTACTTGTAAACGTGCAGCTTTGCAAATGAGAGAACAAAAGGGCAGAACTAGGGCAGCTTCTGCAGCATCTGCACACCTTCCCTGCACAGTGTAAGCACCACACAGCAGGAGAGAGTGGCAGGAAAAGCAGACAAAACCCAAGGCTCTCTTGCTCCTTCCCCATGGATCAAATTTATCTTGTTTTGGGAATACTCCTAGCATTAATTAGCATTTAGACACCAAGTCACCCCAAACGACTTGAAGTTGAATGTTACACCCATTTTCTGAACCACTATCAGTCTTGCATCACCGGTGAAAGGCACTCAAAGGGATCATGGGTGTGGCAACCACAAACAACTGACAATTCACAGATAAATGCATCTGCTTTCACTCACTTTTGTTGGCAGAGGACATTCATCAAGTAGTAGCGTTATAACAGCTGGTCCCAGGGGATCTTCTAATGGAATAACTCTAATTAAAGATTGAACAACTTCCAACCAGCCTTCATCTGTCAACCACAAAACAGAAGTCACACTCAGAATTAACAGTGCAATTCAGAAATGTTCAAAGTATACCCCTAAATGTAAACTGAAAAATTCTCAAAGTTACCCAGTGAGCTTAGAGACATCAGGAAAAACAGCTTGCTTTTTACACCACTGTTTTAGCTTGCAGTAGTTTGGAAGTTTAAATTCAAAAAAGAAAAAGTTTACAGCAGCTTGGGTAATAGTGAACACCTGTATGGTTTGGAGAAGGGTCTTGCCCAGGCCAGAGCATCCTTTAGTTCCTACTATTAGGAAGGAATACTCATGGTGGTATGGACAAGAACTTTGCTCTAGTGTGATACTCAGAGCTCAGCATCCAATGTCAACTCTTAAATGGTAAATGCTACATACACAATGACACTCAGGAAATAATTTCTTTTAACCAGAATCAGATCCCTCTTCCTAAGTTTCCTGAAGTAACAGAGAGTAACAGAGAAACTCAGTGGTTTTTCCCATGCCTGCTGATCTAAAGAATGTTTGTTTTCCTAAGGAGCAACTCTCACTGTTGAATGAGTAGACAAGGGCTTTTACTTGCAAGCAAACAGCCACTAAGAAGATGTTAAACTACTGATAAAGTAAACAGATTTGGATTTACAAGAAAATAGCTCCCTTAGAAGTGAAAATAAAGACAATCTGTGACTGTATACAGGTGAGTGAGGTTGAAGAAGCAGTATTGCCTACAACAACAACACCACAGCAGTAATATATTGGGGGTTATGTTAGCACATTCCCCTGAAAAAGATTTTATTGAATTGCTGTACCTAACCAGATTGATTAATTTATTTTAATACAGAAACATATTTCCTAAGATAACTATCAACACTACTAAGTAGAGAGGTAAAAATTCAATTAAACCAGAAGTTCTGTTGAAATCTTAAGCTGGGAGAATTTCTCCTACTGTAACAAAGATGAAACAGCCCCTGCTTGTCCTGCAGGAGCACTTAGGGACAGGGCTGGGACAAATGCAGAGTAAAGCAGAGGTCTAAGGTCAGCAAGACCCAAACCAAAGGAATGTGCTGTGTGCTGACACTGGAGCACACGGGCTTGGCCCATGCCTGTGTACAGGTGTAGGATGTTCCTGCTCAGCTGCAAACAGCCACTCTTTGTGGCTTAGGCTTTAATGCCACTGCAGTGTGTTTGTGGCCATCCATTGGCTGCTTCTGGAGATTTCACGTGGGAAGTTTAACTGAATTCAAACAAACTCAGGCCAATGCATGAGCTCAGTGAAGCTCTGAAGGGCAAACTTTGTTCTGGTTCCCACATCCCCAGAGCTACACCACACCCCAACACACCCAGCTGAGGTGCATTTTTCTTTGCAAAGAAAAGAGGGGCTTGGGGCTTGTTTTGTTTCTTTTCCTTGTGAGTCACAACTGAAATGCCCAACACAATGCCTTGATACCTGTTTCTGCCATTTCATGCAACGTGATCATTGAATAAGGAGGCTCCTGGTCACTGAAAGAGATATTACACAGGTCAAAAGTTATGCACAGTCATCAACATAATACACTGAATAAAATGATTATAAACAGTCAGAAAACAAATCCAGTAACCATTTAACAAGAGGAAGTTACACAAGCTGCAGATTGCTAATGTCATTTTCAGATCTGAAACACAGATGGGATTTGAGCCTCTCTCTGGCTCAACATCAACATCTGCATGTCTGCAACAGCTGACAAGTGAAATTGTGATCCACATCTGCATGTCTGAAAGCTGAACATAATGCCTAGATTTGGTGCTGTTCATTAGCAGGCTCCTTGTAGTACATAACAAGGCAGTGCATGCCAGAGGTCACAAAGAGAACCCAGAGCAGCACACAAGGGGCATCACTCCAACAGGATTTTTTTCTCAAATTCTCTGCTAAATATATAATTATTTAAAAACCACCACAAAACCTGAATGGGAAGCTACCTAACAGCATCATAGTCTTCAACAAGAGTTGTTAAAATAAACAGTTAAGGCAGTTTAACAGAAAATATTTAATCCAAGCCATTTTCCAACAGGAAAACTGCAAGAAGTTCAACAGATCAGGTCCTCAGTCCAGTTTGCTGGAGTAAGGACACTAAGCTATGGACACATCTGTGTGTCTGAGCAGGCACTGCCAGTGAAAGTACCTAAAGCAAGACCCCAAAATCTTGTTCAGTAAGCCTCACACCTCTAGGTCCAGAAGAAGCTTATCCAGCAGCACGTCCTAAAACACTTTATTCAGTGCTCCTTAGGCACTGTGAACTAACCCCAGGCTTAGACTTTATGTTCCACACCCACTCTCTATCCCACAGCTCTGAAAAGAAATTGGAAATGTGAAATACAGAGGAATTTCAGAACTTTTCAACAGACATTACTTACGGAGATAATAAAGCTACCTAGTTTGAGAGATTAATCATAAAGAAGAGAAAAATCTCAGCATTGATGAAATATATGACATAAATACATGTCTTTTCTTACAAAAAGGTGAGTACATTCTCAAATATTTCCACAAGAAAATGCTAAAGTCCAGTTTAATGCATTTTTTATATTGCCATAATATTTGAAACAAATAGTTGGGTTGGTTTTTTTAACTCAAGGCATCTTCACCTTTCTTCTGGAAAGTAATCTGCCCAGAAGGAAAAAGAAGTGCAGTTTTGCAGTCAGAATTACATCAGGAGAAAGATTCAAAGAAAGGAGAAAAAAACCTCAACAAAAATCCCAACCATAAGTACAAGGCTCTGATAAAAAAGGATGACATTTTTATCTGCAAGATCAGGTTTTCACAGTAGTGGCAGTGAGCACAGGACAATTCTGTCCCACTGATTTGCCATTTTAACCACTTAATTTCCAACATCCCCTCCAGGACACACCTTCCTCATTTTAAAACAAAATGGCCATTTTGGCAATTTCTTTTCCTATAAGCCCCAAAATACAGAACTTATCCTTCTGAGTTTAATTTCTTAAACTTCCAGGAAGCAGCTATCTCTAGATAGGAGAGAAAAAAAAAATCAGTTGTCAAATATGTTTTATGTCAGAACTTTGAGATTTGATAAAACAAAAAACAAGAAAAAAAATGAACCCTCCCCAAGAAAAAACAAATAGCAAACAGGGAAAGCAACTATTAATTCCTTATCATAGTGCATTTTACTATAGTCTCTATAAAAGCCCCTTTCATAAAAATACAGTAGCTTCAGGAATTTGTCAGAAACAGGACTTCATGGGCAGTAAAATAACCATGCTTGTTGTCTCTCAGTAGCATAGGAAAGTGCTTACAATATTACAAAACTGATTGCAAGACCCACAGGAACAGGACCAACTGTGCACAGAAGTGTTGTGAAACAGTTTAAGGAGCTGAACTTGAGGGAAAGGGCATGTGAGACTGGGCAGAGACTTTAAAAAACATTCGCCATGATTTGAAGACAGAGGACAAAATAAAACCTGTTAGAAAACCAAGCAAAGACACACCTTAGACTTAAATATTCATAAAAAACATCGGTCCTGATGTCTGACAGCAGGAAGGCAAACTCCTCTGCAGGCACATTCCAGAGCTGATGCAGGCATATGAATCAAGGCTCACTTATTCTGAGCCTCATCCACCTTAGACTCAAACCCCAGCTGTCAAGGCTGGAATAGTGTTTTTCCTTCAGTTCTGGTCTTTCCAATTCCTAGCCTGCACCTAGCCCAAAAGGTGTTGAGCTAACTTAACCCATAATTTTTAAAGTCCTTTTAAAACTTTGTAGAAAGCAACAAAAAACCAAACAAAGACCAAAAAATGGATGAGCCCATAAATATCCCCCACGCCTTTAATGGATGCTTTGAGCATGCCAGGAATGCAATACTGGGATTGTGAGTTGGGCAGTAACAACATGTGATCTTTAAAAAGTAGTCAGACTTAAAACTGGAAAGAAAACCTCAGTCTGTTTATCCAGGCTAACAAAGATCAAAGCTCCCTATTTTGCTTCACCATTTCCAAAGAAGTAAAATCCAGCCTGCAAACAGAAAACTGCACAACAACCAATTTTTAGGACAGAAGTTCCCAGCCTCTGGAGCATTTATTGCTTCCTAACCTGCGTATCTGTGCCAGGAAGAAATCCTGAGCACACTCCTCATCCCACATGGGTGTAGGCCCATACAGGAACTGTGAGAAAGCTCCTCAGCTCCTGGAAGAGTCTGTACCTGGGCACTCAGGAGCTACTTCTATTACCTAGGAAAGGTGCTCCTCTCCTAAGCCTCCAGATGGAAACACGCAGCTGCTCCAGGGAGAGTCAGGTGTAGATCGGTGAGAGGCTGGAGCCACAGTTTGAGAGAAGACAAGAACATTTTCATTCATGTTGAATTATTCCTTGAGGAGGTACTTACTTATCTACCAACGTCCGAATTACAGCCAGTGTGTCAAGCACCAGCCCATCCACATTCTGTTTTTTCCTCCTTGGTTCATGAGGCCCTCGACCCCTCCTGGGTGGACGGACAGGGTCCCTTGGGTGGCCTCTTGCTTCAGGGATGTGTGTCCTGCTGTTCTCCGTTTGCCGGCCCTGAGAGGTCCCGTTGTCCTCGGCCCCGCTGTCGTCGCGACAAACGCACGAGTTTCCCATGCTGCCAGCTCCCAAGGCTCCCAGGAAACGGGGAATGTGGTGCTCTAGAGTCAACAGCAGACCTTGGAAAAGGCTTCTGCTAGCGTAGAACACAACCAAAGCAACTACAATCATCTAGGAAGTTTTAAGAGAAATGTTTGTGTGATCCCGGATTGTGATCTTTTTGCATCTTAAACGCTGCTACCAGCTGGAATGAGTGGGAAGTTGGAGACTTAGCTGCTGACAGAATCACTTAAAACACACATTGGTCATCCAGAAGGAGGTCTGAAAAAGCAAACATAGAACAAGAGTCAGTGTTACTACTGCTAGAAAACAACAGAAGAATTCCTGTTTTAGTAAACACCACCAGTTCTGGTGGATAAAGCAGCTAAGAAACACAAGGCTTTACCTGAAGTCTATTGTGGGGAAAGGGAAAGGAAGGAAGAGGAGGAGGAGGAAGTTCCCCTGGTAAGGAGCTCTCGCCCACACACCATTCCTTTCTACACCACCTATTACCTCCCAGCTCCCTCATGGTTTTTGGATGCAGAGGAACAAGTTTGCCTGTAAATGTCCCACACTGCTACCCTTTAAATACTAAGTATCAACAAACCAGTTTCATTTGCCCTTTACAGACACACATGGCTTGTGCCACCCCAATAAAGGCTGTACACTTCAGGTTCTCATTTCACATCAGGAACATTTCCAAGCTATACTTCTTTACAATTTTGCCTATTTTAATCTTACAGTTATGGTTCATGTCAACAAACAATAGATTTAACAGAGAATCATTTGTCCCACCTGTGCATAAACACACATTTTTGGAACATGCCTATATCTCCTGCATTCTCACCCAAAGAAGCAACAACACTGAATTAAACAGGAATTATAGACACCATTTTAATGCCTTACAAATCTAACTGGGATTTTGAAATGGGTGTTGTGTGCCTGTTTGGATCTTGTGTCAAACCAATCTTCCATTTTTGGGAAACGAAGACTAATTCAATCATTCTTCTGTTCTTCATTCAAATGGTTTGGATCACATAGAGGCCCAGTAGCAACTGAGACCATGGGGCAGTCTCTCCCAATTATTAACTTGAAAATGCAAGAGAAAAAGGATTCAAAGCCCTAATTCATAACAAGTTATGTTTCAAGCCATAGGGTATACTTCTACAGAACATTACTTTAAAATCACAGGTAATATAAAACCCTACAAAAGATATAATTTCACTACTTACACACTTCAGGCATGTCAGAATAAGTAAGTAATTTTTATCCTTTCAAGAATCAAGTATTACATTTACACTAGAAGTTATGGTGAATATCCTGTAATAGGTTATTCTATTCTTCAATTATTAAATAATTTCATTAACAGCAGACATGTAGCACCCTAAATTCAAAAGGAAGTCAAAGAGAGCTGACACCTTTTAAATATGGAAAGCCCCCACCACCAGAGCCAACTGGCAACTCTGCAATTGCTGGCTGCCCTTTGGGACAAGATCACAACAACAGTCAGGAAGCCAGACACTGGTCATATGAGCAACTCTTGGGATGTCAGCTGTCACTGGAAAAGCACTGCCACCAAGCTCTCATGAGCTCTTCTGTAGTGTGCAGCACATAATCTTTCAGCACAGTGAAATGTTCAGTATTAAGAAATTAACTGGAGGCTAACTAAGAAAAAAAAAAAATCAATTCCTCAAGGGATATTAATAGGAAAAAAATACAAGATCTTGACTTCTTGGTCAAGAAATTCCTAAACCACAGATCATCAAAAGGCTTTCAGCATCACATCATGCTTGCTTTTTGCCCTAAGCAGTTTGGCTATCAGGCTCAGAGTCCTTCCATCTGAGCCAATACTGCTGGCACCTTCTCAGTCAGCAAGTCACAAGCAGATGAGAGGTGCCAGTGCAGATTGCAAAGACCTCAGACAGAATTGTCTGAGCTCACAACTGGTTAAAATGACTTCCTTGATTTTAAAAAGAACAAGTTATGTTAAATGCAAAACATGTCTTTCTAGGGAATATGTATGTATTTATGAATCTGGGTCATTTAAGGGCTTTTTAACAAGATAATACTAAAATGTAAAACTGTTACAGATTTAGAATCTGAATAAAGTTGTTCTGTAACTTATGGAAATGTTAACACAGTCAATCTATCGTGTCATCAAAACAAGAATGGAAAAGGTGTATTTTAGAGATTAACAATGAGTAAGAACCTAAAGAAGCAAAACCAGACATATGTCAAGATTAAAGCTGATTATTGAAGTCTAAGTTTTTCTGGCTGACAACTTAAAGCGTGATTAAAAACAAGTAATTATGATCAACTCACCTGTAAGTTTGCTTGGTTCAGGAATGGCTGGGGGAGCTCACAAAGTGCTGTGGCAGAAGGGGGTTGTTCTCCTCCAGGGCACAAAGTCTATCTGGGAAAGGCAGTGCTCTGTAAGCCTTTATGGTGGGCACTGAGTCATTACTGACTCTGCTTTCACTCCTAGGAACTGCGCTGAGGAGTCCCTGGGGAGAGATGGAAAAAAAAGAGAATTCACTTGGAAACTGCATCTAAGGTAGACATACTCCACCTCCTCCTTACACCTGCCATGACATCAAGCCACACTGTTATTTTCAGCTATTCAGAGCCTTATTTTCAGCCTTTACAGAGGGAATTCTCTTAAGGCTTTAAAACCCAGTTTCTCATCTGAAAGCTTTAGGACTAGACACAGAAAATCCAACCTGTTTCTACAGCCTTGGTATTCCAGATGACACAGAACCAAGTGCAGAGCAGTGGCCAACTCCTCACCTCAAAATTACTCCCTAGAGGAGGAAGAAGAGAAGCAATAATATCTGCTCCAGACACAGCAGAAAATAAAAGTACACTATAAAAGCTGATTAGATAAGAGGAAGAGAGAAATGACAGGATAAACTCCCCTTATTTAGTAAAGAGCTGGGTTTGACAGCATTCACTTGGCTCTTTGCTCACCATCACATACAAGGAGCTCATTGTCAAGCCTCAAACAAACTGAAAGGCTAAATAATTAGGAACACAAGGTAGGAGAGATTGCTAGAGATCTACTCACAAACCAGCTTGTCTGGATAGAGCATGAATGCAGGAAGAAAGGTTCTGAAGTGCAAAGGAAACGAATAAAAAGACAAGTTTTTATTCCGTAAGAAGTAGCTGGTACTCCATCTCTCACCAAACAGCACAAAATGCCAATGCCCAGAGAGCCCCTGTGGGACACTCACTGAGCAGCTGCCCCAGCACACCTTGCCCTCAACAAGGCCCCCAGATCAGATGCTGCTGGAGCAGGACACCTTCCTTCCCTGCATGGGAGAAAAGCAGGTCCAGCTGCAGCCTCCTGTGCCCCACACACCCCCAGTGGCCACTGGGACCATCCCCAGCACAGAAAGCAGCTGCTCTCCTGGAGCCTCAAGCACATACACGGATGCACAAAGGAGTCAGGAGCTCCACAGGCTGACCAACCTGCCGTGGCTGGAAGTCCAAGTGGGAAAGACAAAATCATCATCCATTGGAAGGGATGCTAAGGGAGTGGATTTGCACCTGCCTGGCAGCACCAGCCTGCCCCAGAGAGGCCTCCTCTGGACCATGCGACCGAGCGCGCCAGTGCAGGAGTTGGCTCCAAGTGGCACTGGGATCATTTCTCTGCAATGTGCAGCCCAAGAGTCAGTGATTCATCCCCTCAAATATTCAATTACAGCCAACCATAATACTGCCTCATGATGGAAAATGCCTCTTCTTTCCATGAAATGGAGTGCACTGCCAAGCAAACAAAAAAACCCTCGTGCACATAAATGGGGAAGGTTTTAGCTACCAAAAACACTCTTCCAGTTTCTGCCACCACTACAAGAGTAAGATCAGTGATTTCCCCTCTTGAGCAGAGTAACACAGGAGCTCAGTCAACAAACCATACAGTAAAGCTGACAGGTTTTCAAAAGCAAAACTGTAAGAGTTTTGGCCAGCAGTTTCCTATTAAGAAGATAAAATAATTAGAACTATTTCCTCAGCATTTCTTTCCCAAAGAAATGATGCTCCTAAAAAGGAAGAGATGGAAATACTTGTGATGCCTGTCAGATGAAAGTTCAGACCAGAAGGAAACAAAGCTATGAATTGCTACAAGATAATCAACTTTGATACAGGAATAAGAGGAAGAAGAAGCCTGTTTGAAAAACAAGCTTTTATAATAAGGAGAATTTTCAGCTGTGAAATGATGGGGATAATACTGAAAGCCAAGAATTTCCAGTAAACAACATACAACTAGAATGTGAAATGGAGACTTTCTCAGGAATCCCATTGACATGCAAGGCCAACCTCTCACCTGTGAGACTTGTGCAACTGAAGAGCAGCAGGCGCTGGGTGTCCAGCGCGGTTCCACGCAGCGCACGCAGCCAGGGGAGCACAGGCTCCAGGAGGAGCAGGTAAATACCCTGCTGGTGCTTTGGCATGTGCTACCCAACCACCACGTTGTGTCATCTGAAGCAAACCCCTAATTCAGTTCTATTTTCTTTAGAAATACCTTGGAGGGTTAAGACTAGTGTCAAAACACGATGGGAAGCAGCCTTTACTGGCACGCAGCATTTCACAAAGCCATTGCCACAGCTGGTTGCTTTCTTGCTGAGGCAAGAGCACCTGAAACCAAAAGCAGACTAACCTTGAGCATGCCAGTTTCACAGAAAGGGAGACTCACCACGTCTCAAAGCTTTCCAGCTCCTGCACAGGTGCTCATCAGTGAAAACCCCCAGGGCTGTACAAGGTTTATGCAAACAATTGGGCTTTAACCCTGATGTCTTCTCTAGGTAATTCATCTTTGTCACAAACACAGAACTGGAGGATCTGATCTCTTGTTTGACTTGATGTGAAGCAGAAAGAAGCACAGTAACTACTACCACAGTAGTTTCTTTTTCTGTAGACTCACTGTGAAAGTCAGATTTTATAGTCACTTGCACATTGCACTACTTTGTCTTTTCACTTCCTTTAAACCCCTTTTTAAAGCTGGTACAGGAACACTAAAATTGCAAGACAGATTTAAAGTGAACTTCACTTTCTGATTTGAATGAGTGTCACCAGAGCAGGCCTGGTAGGGATTCCTCCCTGCACAATTTTTCCCTTATGTCTGGATACAGAGACACTAGTGCTCAGGACATGCCAGGCATCAGACTGTTCAGCTTTCTTTCTGAAAGAGAAACTGAAGCATTTACCACCTTCTGAGCTTTCCCATCTCAGAGGTCATCATTTGTCATCTCAGTCATTTAAGTGGAACTGTCCTTTGTACCACAGAAAACCTCAACTTTGCTTCATGTCTAAAGCAACGCTGGTATCGATCACGCTTCCTGCTTCTCAGCTCCCCAAGCCACAGATGGATCATTACATTTCTTATCAGAGACTGAGCTTAAATTATGCTTTGAGGCAGATGAAAGCACTTCTGAGATAATGATCTTTTTAAAAGATAGTGGTATCTGACAGCCCAGTGAAGTTGAACAAGAGGTGCCTCCAGCAGGGTGACGTGGCCTGGCAGAGCTGAACAAGCTCAGCAGTTGCCCAAGGAGCAGAGTATAATGCACTGCTTCAGAAGTGGCAGGGAGAGAAAGATAACCCTGGAGATGGCAAGGAACACTAATCCTATAAACTGCAGGGATACAAGCACATGAAATAAAATAGATTAGCTATACCCTATTAAGTTTTGGCACAGACATTCATTTGGAAGCTTAAAAATAACTCTTTCAATTAATTCAAGTTAATCTTCCTTGCTGCCCAGAAAATTAAAGGCGTTATCAACAATACAATTCTGACAAAAGCATTCATGATACCAGGATTCAATATTAAATAAAAAACTCCACCAAAAAAAGCCCAAAACTCTCCAATTCTCCCAAAAAATCCACAAGAAATTCCAGAATAGACAATGCTGGAAGGAAAGTGAATCTTTGGATACCAAGCAGAGGTATAGAATGGCAAAGAAATCCACCCTCCCCCCCCCAAAAAAAAAAAAAAAGCTTTGTCTAGTAAAACTTACAACAGTCCAGTTCAGAAAGGTTAAGGTTTTATCTATATCAGTATCAAGAAATCATTGAAAGAGTTCTCTTCAGTCACGTGGAGATCAACTCCTTGCAATACTTAAAGAACCTTGTGCATGAGCAAAATCACCACAAAAGCATTTTGAGGGGCAAGTCAAGAGACTGAGCAGCTCAGTCACAGCACAGCCCTGCCCTGGGAACTAGAATTAGGGATAGCACAGGGGCATCCAAGTCATCACATTGTGGGCACCAGGAAGATGCTTCAAGGAGGGACTGCTGGAAGCAGGGGCAGATTCTTGTCAGCAAACCACCAGCTTCATGTAAGTGAGCTAAGACAGTGGCAACTCAGAGTTTGTCTGCTTCTTGTCTAAACTCATCTTAGTGCTTTTCTTTCTCCTATCTCAGAGCTGGGCTTTTTTTCAGAGGAACACTGGGTGCAGAATTACTCTGTAGAAGGCAGAACAGTCTCTTGCTGTAGACCACAGAACTCAGCCCAGCTATGTGGCATGACTAAGCTATTACAAACACGTAAAATTCACAGGTCCACAAACCGTTTTCAGTGTAAAATTTTGATAACATTGCTGAAAAACTCAGCAATGCCTCAGTTGGAAGCCTGCATTATCAGCTGTCTGACAACTGTCTTGGTGAGCAGACAATGTCTAGAAACAGGCTGAAGAAAGTTCCATGTCTTGATGGTTGAAGCAGCATCAGAGGATTGCCTGATCTTTCAGTGGGCAGAGTTGAGAGCCACCCTTGTGGCCCTCCCTGCCAGCCATGGAAAGCTGGCTGCTCTGTGCTAGACAAAGTTCAGCACTGTACTGACAGAGCAGGAAATGCCCTTCAAATTCCCTTTCCTCCTGTGAGTGGATACAGTGACAGCTGCTCAAGAGACTGTCATTTGAGTCCAACACAACATGTAGGTCACTAGGTTAGCAAACCTGCCTCGGAAGCACTCTTGGAAAGCACAATTCCTGAACGACCTGGGGCTTCCAGAGCTGAAGAATACAGAATATGAAACAGCTCTGGGCAGGCCACTGGAACCCCTTTTCTCACCAGTTTCACAGAATTCACAGAATCAGTAGGTTGGAAGAGATCTTCAAGATCATTGAGTCCAACCCAGCCCAAACACCTCAACTAAACCCTGGCACCCAGTGCCACATCCAGGCTTTTTTTAAACACATCCAGGGATGGTGACTCCACCACCTCCCTGGGCAGCCATTCCAGAACTTCATCACAGAACTTACTTAAAACAACAAAAAAAACCACCTACACAAGAACTCAGCTTCATTTTCCCCCATCTATCTCTTCAGGTTCTGCCTTCAGGACTTTTCCTTTCTGCCCTGCCACAAGTCTGCCAGCAAAGCACAGTGCAGAAAGGAGCCTGCTGTGGATTCACCAGCCACGTGTACCAAGCGCTCCTGCCAGGTCTCACAGGTGTCCTGCTCCAACCACTGAGCTGTGGTATTTCCTTACAGTGTTTTAGGGCCCCTGCCAGTACCAAGAAAGCCAGAGGAAGTTGCTCAGTGTGCCGTGGCCAAGGGGGGAAGAGGCCTGAGTGCCTGAGAGATGGCTCGGACATGTGCAGGTGGGTTAGGAAGTGGGAGGATGATGAGCACGTGTCTCACAAGGCACTAGGAATACAGCTTAAACAAGACTCTGCACCCAGTTTAGTCAAAAAAGGCAGAAAGCACAAAAACTATTTAAGAGGCTTTCAAAATCCTGTAACAGTACTAGGAACACAAAGTCTCAGCCACCTGGGGCTTCTGCTAAATAACTTTCTGAGGAACTTCAGGAGAATTAAGATTAAATTGTTTTGATAATTACATGTAAACAACACTTCACTAAATGTTACAAAGGGATAATGCTCTAAGGAGAGAATAACTCACCTATTGTTATTTTTTTTTTAAATCTTTTATTTCAGAACTGATATATTAACCAGAGTTTGAGTGCAAACACATACCATTCTTAGACTCACCATTAGCTGAATGTTTTTAAAAGCAGGGAGAACAATTCTAAGCCTGCTCCATGCCAGACAGCTTTGCCTTTAGAAAAAAAAAAAAAAAAAGCATCAGCAGGTTGCTGAGTTTTCTTTTTTCAGTATGACTTTCTAGCATGTCCCACTGTCTGCAGGAAGGTGTAAGATACACAGGAATGGTGCAGCCTCCTGGCTCGTAGTTCATCAGCTGCCCCCTAACCTGTGATTCAAGCTGTAATTGCACCAGTTTGTGCACATGCACTGAAGCCAGCAATCCAAAAACCCCTGCCAACACTTGGATCAAAAAGTCCTCGACACTTGTTCTTCTCCCACCTAACAAGGTACTCAGATACTTAGAGCAAAAGGGAGGCATTTTCTATGGGAAAAAAAAAAGCCTTAGAAAGGGAGAAAAATAATTACAGTTGTGTTTCATGTGCTCAGAAACCACTATTTCCCTGAGAGGAGAGTTTTATTAGGAAAAAGATGGATTTCTTGTTACTGATCATGGCAACTCACTGAACTCCATCTAAAGAACATGCATTAAAAACCAAGGAGCAGCACCTCATCCCAGACTTTGCACTGCCAGGTATCCCTGCTGCACAGGCAAAGCCCACCAAGCCCACAGAGTTCCCATGGCAGAGCTGTGCTTCCAAAGCACAAATCTGGTCACAGGAATGGCAGATCAAGGGCAGGTAGTTACAAGCACTTCTGAAGAGAGATCATGATGCATTGGTCAGTCACGCAACCTCGTGAGTCATGTGTGAACATTTGACTTTTATTAGACCTCAGCAATATAATGAAGAATAGAAAAGGAAATAAAGATCATGCTGGCACAGTCATTGCCCTGCAATGCCAGCTTTACAGTTACCACACACAGAACAGGAAAATAAAATATATTTTCAGACACAAGGCAATACAAAGCACATGAGATACTTGAAAGACAAAGAATCTCAGTGTAAGATCACTGCCTGCACTGCTTAAAGCAATGAATAAATTCAAATAGTGAGCAATCATAAGTTCAATAGAGGAAAAAAAAACCCAAAAAAGCCAATTTGAAATGCTGAACATAACATATTGATAATGGAGCAGAACAGGACAAATATCATGACATTAGCTGGCCTTCAATTTACTACAAGCTGACAGCTTTTTAAGTTGCTGCCTCTGGTTGAGAAGGAAAGCACACAGTGCACATGATGAGCCTTGCTCCACTTTGTGAGGATATCAGCACACAGCTACATGACCAATGAGGACATTTCCAAACACAGCACATTGCCAGGTAGGGGAGATAATGATATCAAAGGGAATTTGAATGAAGAAACCTGAAGAGTTACAGGCCAGTAAGTGTCTATGACAAATCACTGCCTTTATCACTAACTTATTGCTTACACTAATAAATATCTTCCTGTTACTCCTAAATTTTAACAAACATGCAAAAAAGCTTGAGGAGAATTGACTCTGATTCCACCTGATGGGCAGAATATGAGGGATGTCTTACTGCACAGGAGGGAACCAAAACATTGTAAGTGATCTATTTCAGTGCTATCCATTAGACTCGCAGCAAATGAAATGCACTTCAAGCTAAGACTCCTCTGTGAAAACACTGATAATGTACCAAGGGAGAGCACTGCAGGGTTGTGCAGAAAACCATCATGTCCCTCTAAGAGGAAAAAAAAAAAGAACATTAAGAAAAGCACAGAATAATGTATCAGTGAGAGAACAAGTGAGCCACTGAGTGATCACCAAATTATGAAGCCACAGAGTAAGATACCACTGTGGTACCACGAAGTGTTGCAGTGAAACTCCCTGTGTAGGAGGCTGAAGGTAAATAAAAAGGAAAGTTAAAGACCTCAGGGAAACCAACAAGCCCACCTCCCTGCAGACACACGTTGGTATCACAGCTGATGATAAGGGAGGTGTGTGGACAAGCTGGATTAGCTCTATCAGCAATCTAAGGGTGGGTAAACAACCAAGGCCAAGCTAATAAACAATCAGCATCAGAAAGAGTTATGACAAGAGCTGTGCAGAAGGCAAAACACAGCACTAAAATATAAAATACCCTGGAGGAGCTTCCTTCTCAAGTGATGGACAGGGGAAACTGAAAACTTTCATTTAGCAGGAACCTCAAGAGAATGTCTGGATGAAAAGGGAAGAGACAAGAAGTGAACACAAATTACAATTGTGCTTCACTCATCTGAAAAAGAACACACCACAGGAAATTCACAATCTATTCAAGCAGATCTATAAATAGGAACAAACAGCAGAGATTGGGGCACAAAGCAAAAACAGCAATGTCCTAAAGGGAGGGACAGAGGAATGGGTGCCAGGAGGAGAAAGGGCCTGTTTTGCTGAGTGGGCTTCAGCAGAGAACAAAGACACAGGCAAAAGCGCTTACAGAAGAATGGGCCAGATTTAGATCAAAGAACAGATCAATTCTGTGCATTTGGATAAATGCAAAACAAAAACACATTTAACAGCATCACTGACTCTTAAAATAATATGACAAGTTTTGAGGATGCACAGTGCTCTGGAAATCCACAGTCAAATACAGGAGTCCAAGAGGAGATGAGATGCAAGGGAATATTTCAGGGGGCTCAAAGGTGATGAGAGCATTAACTGTTTAAAAATCTGTACAGTTTAACAAAAAAAGAGCAAAAATTTTAATACCAGGAAGAAAACAAGGGAAAGTCACAATAAACAAGTGGATGTAGGTTTCCACGTGACAATAATCTCACAGCAGTGATGGATGTACAGAAAATTAGTAGAACAGCAGAACTGAGCTGAGGACCAGCATGAGAAAAGAAAACAACACCAAAACAAATACATGCATTCAATGCAAAACAAAGGACAGAAAAAGCTAAAATCCTGAGGCAAAGCTAGTGCTAAGTAGAAAAAAAAAACTCTTATATTGAAGAAAACAAACACTGACACAGACATAAAATGAAAAAAAACAAAACCCTACCAAACACACCAGCATTCAGAAAACAGTGCAGGCTGAATTAATTTAGGAGGGAAAAGGCAGCTCTTATGTCTGTGTTTCTCCATGGACCAAAGTTTCACTGTGTGAGAAAAACTGATAATATTGGCCGAGCACCAAAATGAACTCTGGGCTCAGGGATCAGAGTTTGCAGTAATGAAAGAGAAAATGAAAAGTAATGTGACTACAGCCATTCCTGGGACCTACACTAAGATTGCACCGAGAAGGGACAGTGCACTACTGCAGAACGCATAAAAAACAAGCAGTTCCTAAAAAGAGGGGGTCAGTGAAGGCCTGAGAGACAGAAACAGTGATCAGGACAGAATCAAATGGCTTAAAAGGGAAACTCATGCTCGATATGGGCACAATATAAGCAGTGATAAATCCTGCTCTATAAGCACCGAAGTGGGAGACAGAGCCGAGGTGCTGCCGCACCCGTGGCAAAGGCGCCGCTGCCAAATCTACTACCCAAAACAAAAGATCCAGGTAAACGAGTGCATTTGGTGACCCGCTCCACACCTCCTCTGTAAAGACAGAAAACTTGCTGTGGAGAAACATTTTCCCATAGAGAGCTTCCAGGATGTGGCTGCTCACACCGGTGTGCGAACCCGAGCGCTCCGCAGCCCGCCGTGCTCCCGAGCTGCCGGGGCAGCACACCGGGTCTGGGATGTCACCTCGCCCCTCGCACACCAACCCCGCCGTAGCCAAGCCCGTGTTTTGCAAGTCATACGAGCACCGGGAGGCGCCGTTAGGAAGTCCCAACCCCTGCGGGCCCCGAGCAGCGCCAAACCCGCGTTCATTCACCTTGTGCCGCTCCCTGCAGCGAGCTCCCAGCTCCGCAGCCAGCCCAGCTCCGGGGCCTCCGCCAGCGCCCAGCGAGCCCGGGGCTGCACCTTGGCCACCGCCTCTTACCCCGGCTTGCCCTCCCCAGATGGCCCCAGCGAGGCGGCCGGGGGTACCGGGATCCCTGAGGGGCAGCGGCACCAACCACCGGAGCCGGCGGGACCCCGGGCCGCTGCCTGGGGCCGGGGGCTGCGCTGGCCCGGCCCCCGCCCCAACCGGGACCCGCGCCCGGGGCCCCGGGGGAGCGGAGGGCAGGGAGGGCTGAGCACGGTGCCTTCACTCCTTAACGCACGGCCGGCAATGGGGCCACCAGCGCCCAGCCCGGCGCTGTCCCTTCCCCTCAGCCCGATGCGCGCCCCGCTCCGCCCCAGCCCCGCGGCACCCGCCAGCCGGGCCGCGTCCGCTATGCCTCACCTCAGCTCCGCACTGCCCCGCCGGGAGCACAGCGGGGGCCGCCACGGACCCCGCGCCCTCCGCCCCTGCCCGGCCCCGGCCCGGCGCTGCCGCCGCTCCTTTGTGCCGAAAGATGGAGGCGACTCACGGCGCGGCCCCGCCCCCCGCCCTCGGTCCCGCCCCCGCCGCGGAGATTTGCCCAATCGAAACTCGGGGCTGCTGTGACGTCCTCCCTCCAGCCAACCCCCGGGCGCTCCGCGCGCCGCTCTGCCCGCCGTAAGAGCGGCGGGGATTGGCTGCCGCGGGGGCGGGGCCGCTGAAGGAAGCGCTCGCGCGGTTGGCCGCGGCGGGCGGAAGGGGCGGGGCGGCCGGCGGAGGGGAGCGGGGTCAATGGCGGCGCTGCGGGCCCGGCGGTGCCGCTCGCTGTGAGGGGCCGCGGTACGTGCCGGGGGCGGGCCCGGGGCGGCGGGGCCGGAGGAGGCGCCCGGGGGCGGGGATAGCGGCCGTGGCCGGGCCGCCGGGCCCTTGGGGTGCAGGGGTGAGGAGGGCCGGGCCTGGGCCCCGCGAGCGCGGCGGGCCGGGGGCCGCTCCCGGGACGAGGGGCTGGAGGGAAGGAGCGGAGAGGGCTCGGAGCAGCTCGAGCCCGGCACGCCCGGAGGGTTCCCCGCACCGAGCTCCGGCGGTGCCGCAGGAAGGGAGCCCGGGGGCGGGTTCGGGCCGGCGGGGCCGATTGATCCCCGGCGGCTCCGGGCTCGGCACGCAGCGCCTCGCTCGGTGCGGAGCGGGGAGCGCTGCCCGGCTGGCCCAGCGCTGGGTTGATGGAACGGGTCGGTAAGTAGCGTTTGTTGTTTAAGGAGGGCTGGATCTGTTGGAAGCTGCGCTCGGGTACCCAAGGCACCGTCGCTGCTCTGCGTCTGTTCCAGCCGAAGTGGTGGCAAGGGTTGTGAAGTTTGGGAGGGTTTGTGATCCTGGGGGTGTTGTTACCATCTGGTGTTATAAAAACATGTGGTTTACCACTGTGACAAACATTTTTTCATTTGCAATGACAGCACAGCCCTACAATTTCGCCTACACCAGGTGAAAACTCTGATAAATAGGGAAAAGTTGCCAGGTGCATGTTTTTTGTTGTGTCTGGTTTGTGTGTGTTAGCTTCAGATGGGAGAGGGCAAAGAATACAGCAAAATTACCAAACTTTATAAGTGCCAGTGAACTTTAATCTGATGCTGCTTGATGGGGTTTTTCCCCCTCCTCTCTTTTCCCCAGGATGAGGTTGTCAGTGTCAGACACCAGTTTTCAGGCTGGTGTTGGAAGCATTACTGCATCTCAGGCCGTAATTAAACCTTAATCATGGTTTAATTGATGTATCAATTTATGTATCTTAAAATATATTGTCTGAGTGGACTGATCCAGGTGGTTTGCTGCTGAAGGCTGTAGTCCCCAGAGGATACTGTGTTCTTGCAGAATCCCTCTCTCAGTTTGCTTTTATTACTTTCTGTCACCATTGTATTGAAACCTTTAATTTCCTCTCTAAATATATAGGTTGAGATGACACAAGTGGAGAAAGAAATTATGTTGTTTATGCAGCACTTGGATAGGAAAGCTGGCCTTGTGATCAGGACCTGTATTCAGCAGTGAGATTCAATTTTTATCTTCTCTGTAGGTTTCCAGCTTGAGCCACCTTCAGAAATTGCACTCAAAGAGCAAGTGTTCCATACTCTCTGGAAAGTGGCTGCAGGGTGGATTTTTTGTTAGATATTAAAAAAAGAAAGAAAGAAAAGTTTAAAGAAGATAAAATCACCTGCCCTGAATCTGTCCTTCCTGTCCCCAGCTCTTAAGAGAATTCTTTTGTCTTAACTTCTTTTAGTAATACTAACCTTAAGAATGTATCCTGTTGTAACAAATATTTGTCAGTGCTCTAACTTGAATTTCTCCTGAGATTTCAAATTTTTCATTTTTCTTACAAGCAATACCCTCCAAAAGTATCAGTTTTTGTAAGGATTTCAGGATTTCCTGCAGGACTGATTCCTTGTGGTATGAAGGAAGGATGATAAACAGGTTTCTTCCCTTATTTGGGTTACTGCATCCCTTCCTCCCTGGAGGAGTAACTGTCCTGGGATCTCTTCTGTGCTGAAATGCAGGCAGGGTGAGATCCCAGTGAGCAGTACTTGGCAGAACTGTGGGCAGTCTGCCCTCCTTAACCTGCTGCAGTTAAACCAGGGAGATAATAAAGTAGAGAAAAGTTATGTTTGCATATCTTTAAGTGAACAGCTCTGTGTGTTGTGTTTATGTTGTACTGCTGTGTAAAGTTTTGATGTACAGGCTTGAAACAAAACCAGGCACTAGGGTAGCATGGAGCTGGCAGAATAACTCTGGGAGGAGACACCTAGGGCTTACAGAAGGAGTTTGTTTCATCCTGGGCTTACAGGTGTCAGGACCACGAGTTTCCTTGTTAGGCTGACTCCTTGGAGCATCTCCACCCTGCAGCTGGTACTGAAACCTTGAAGCAGAGGGTGGCTGCACTGTGTGGGAAGGGGCTGTGCTCTTTCCAGGGGAAGTGCTGCTCATTTTTTAACCCCAGCTCTGTTTTAGCCCTTTCTCACTCAGCTGTTGACCTCCCAGCCAGATCCCCCCAGTTTATATCCTGGGCACAGTGTTGTGTGGTCATGGTTCTGTGGAATATCCCTTTGTTCAGTTCAGGACAGCTGTCCTGGCCGTGCTCCCTCATGGTTTAGCTCCTCACTGGTTGTGTGAGACACTGAGTCCTTGACTTAGGCTAAAACTGCAAGGGTGTTATCAATGTTGCTGTCACACCAAGCCCAAACCACTGAGCTGTAACAGCTGCTGAGAAGTTTAGCTCTGTCCCAGCCAAAACCAGAACAGTTGCTAATTTCTGAAATCTCATTGTTAATCACTTCTAAATACGTGCACTCAACAACTGAGAACAGGCAAGCTTTCTCAAATTTTCATAGGTTGGGCAAAAAGAACTTGGGATTTGATGCTTTGCCATCACTTTATTCCTCTCCGGAACATATGTGGAGGAACAGAAATAAAAGGATGAGAGTGTAGGTGAGGGTGTTTATTTTTTTTTTAATATTTATTTAAGCCAAGTAAATTCATTAGAACATGACTTTCAGAAAAACAGCCTGAGGCAAACAACTAGTAGGAAATAGGTAATTATGAAAAAAGAGTAAAGAAGGAGTAATAGATGATGCTTGTTAGTCTTGGCAGTTATGCAGTGGGTTTGTGTCTCAGTCAGTGCTCACCATGCAGTGCTCTTTAGAGAACTGAAGTTACTGTAAGGGCAGCAGGTCTATTTCTCAGGATATTTAATAATCACTCAATGAAAAGCATAATCAGACTCCTGATTGTGTTTTTAGGAGACACTATTCCACAATGGAAGGGGGAGATGGCACTGCTGACCTGGTGATCAACAAGAGGTTCGTGTCTGAAGCAGAGCTAGAGGAGCGACGAAAGAGAAGGCAAGAGGAATGGGAGAAGGTGCGGAAACCTGAGGACCCAAAAGGTATGGGCTGAATTCAGTAATTACAGGAAAAAGATCTGAGAATTTCTCACTCTTATGGAAAATAGAAATTAAAAGTAATGGCTTTTTATATTCTATAATTGAAATGGTTTTTACCATGAAGGATCTGAACTGTTGGTGGTTTAGTGTTCCTAACACGGTGTCCCTTGCTGATTTGTTCCTTTCAGAATGCCCAGAGGAGGCATATGACCCACGGTCGTTGTATGAAAGGCTCCAGGAGCAGAGAGAAAAGAAGCAGCAGGAGTTTGAGGAGCAATTTAAATTCAGTAAGCAGCAGCAGCAAACTGCATGTGTTGTATGCAACAGCTGTGCACGACTTCTGAGTAAAGGACATATCTGTGTGTTTTGTCTCCTTCTCTGAGATGGAAACAAAGGCTTCAGGAGAGTGTTATTGAAATCCTGGATTTTTAAAGGAACATGTTCTGGACATTGAGGCAGCACTGCACACATGCAAAAACTCAAAAGGTGTTTGCAGTTTTGAAGATGCATGCCTGTAAAGTGTTATATGCAACATAAGCTCAGAATACTGAGCTTATATTGCATATAAAATAAAAAATCCCAAAAAACTCCCCAACAAACTTGATAGCAATCCACAAAGAAGCGGAAAAGTATTGTGGTTTTGTGACTCTTGAGCTCATGCTTTAACACATGCTTGAATCATGTTAGAGCACCTATTACATTTCCAAGCCATAATTATTTGACTAAAAGTGGTTTGAGAGTTAAGATTATGATTTGAAAGAAGTAAATGTACATGTTTTGAGTCTTTAGAAGTAGTTGTTTGACTCTTCTAATGAAATGTTTGGATTTCTGGTTTTATAGAAAAGCCCTTTGAAAAGTGGCAAGTACAGATAGCAGCATTAATGCATCAAAGTCTCCAGCTGGACCTACAGGGTTCTTTCCACCTAGAGAGTTTCCAGTAAACTTCAGTAGAAACTTTTGATCCCAGTCATTTCTGGTAACATGACTAAGCAATTCTTGCTGAAGGAGCCACCCAAAAATTGACTGCTGTCAGCCTGAACAGGAAGGGCTGCTAATAACTGTCTAAGTGAATTGTTTTTCTTGGCCAGTTGTATTAGATCTGCGACACCTTTGCTTTGGTAATCCAAGTACTGGAATGGGAAATAGCCCTGAGAAGTAAACCCACCTCTGCTTTTAGTGCAACCACAGCAGAATATCAGATAGCAGCTAACCTGGAGAAGAAAACCTGCTGCAGAATCCTCCTGCCTGGGAGGGAACCTCAATAGAACCTCAGCTCAAAGGGCCTCAGTGGCTGCTCCTCTTCGTTTGCAGATGAGTCAGGCAGAAAATGAAATTAATTCATGTCACTTGCTTCAAAAAATGTCCTGAGTTTCACTACTTTTGCTCTCTGATGGGGTCCTCAGTAATAGTAGTGAGTGCTACAAGTTACTGTTTAAAGATTTATGAATGAGCTCTGCATGAGTTGGAAGGAGCAGGGATTGGCTTTTATAAAGTGACCTCAAATAATCATTGATTTCCTGAGCTTTTCTGTCAAACACAAGGCTGCCAGTTATGAGTGTAAATGGATTTCCTAGTTTGCCCTCAAAGTGACTAGGGCTTGTCTGTGTGGGTTGAAGAGTAAAAATATGGTGTATTTTT